CGTTGATGTGTATGAGCAGCAACAGCATTATAAAATCAAACGATCTGCAAAGTGTTTAGCGAACAGTTCAAATGGATAATCATATATATCACATAAAGTTAAAATTACTTGAATTCGCTGGCAGGCAAACCGCTGATGGTTCGCTGCCACATTTGATAAAATCGTTTGGAGCGCTTAAGACCCTGTTGCAGGAAACCAAAGAGCTCCAATTGTGATTGCTTATCGTTGGCAGCAGGCGTGTCACTTGCAGGAGAGCTTTCTCTTTGCGATCTATGACGCCAGGTGAAGATTTCGCGCAATGTGGAGACCAGCTGAAAAATGCAAGACAATTATTATAATTATAATTAACAACAAGAAAGAAGAGTTATTATTGGAATGCCAAAAACTCAAAACTCTTGCGGACATACAATAAAAGTTCGTTCTGAAATCGTGAAGAAACAAATTTCAACAAGCGTTCAAATAATGGCAGCTTGCAATTAAGGGGTCCAAACCGGCCCAGTTCGACATATGCGGTAGAATAGGTTGTTGGATCATGGCCATAACTACTCAAATATGCATACTGACACTACACATTTCCAATTGTCTCTGGCTTAGCGCTAAAAAAAAATGTATTTGTATTGTACCTCACGCACGACAACGTCTGTGTCCTGATTGAGACTATTAAGCAAGATGCGTATGAGATGCGGCAGTGTCTACAAAGAATTGATTTGTAAAAATTTATAAGTTAGTGCGCAATATATTTCAATTGAGTGAGATTACCACATTCGAGCAATTGCTTTCGTCCTTGATGAACTCCAGGATACGTTCGCGAAGTTTTCCCTGTGTCCTAGCACTTAGCGTCAAATTGCTTAACATTTGTAGTGTGGTCAATTGAAAAAGATCTTTGCTGCTCGAATAATTAATGCTAGATGGGACAGACAACAGTTAACAGAGAGAGCTTCACTTATAAGGACACTTAATGACATACGTGAGCAGCTCGACAAAATCGTCGTGTTTACTTCCGTCCAGCAAATACTCAGCGCTGCTTATGATATCCAATTTAGACGGCTCTGAGGCGTTGTTGAAGATGCGTTCGATGTGTGCATAGATCTGATCACTATGCGACAGCGTTAGGTATCGCAATTGGGCAAGCATCAGTGGAAGCAAGGGCAGGCAACCCGGCACCGTTTGCACTCGCTCCAACTTGGCAATCTCCTCGATTTTGTTAAAAAGCACCTCAAGGCAGGGCTCGCGTAGAAAGTCGATCATCAGAAAGTTGATGAACATGCTGTTCTGTGATTGATACACCTGCTCTTCTCCAGCAGTGTCTATGGTGCAGCCACTAAGCAGTTTCTGGGCCAGTTTCGATTTGGGCGCAAGCGCTACGTTTAGGCCCGTTTTAAAGGTTTCAATATTTTCGGGATATTTTGGAGAGCGCACCAATATGTCACGTAGCTTAGAGACAATAGCAATGTGATCGCAGGACAGCACAAATGTGTCCGCTTGGTCCAGTTGCACACCAGCGTTCAGGAGCACCATCTCAAAGAAGCTATTCGGCTGGCGGGAACTGTTGATCCTAGACGATGACTGGGTGCGACCCAATGTAGCGGCCAATGCGAGGCTGTGTTGCGACAGGAAGCGTTGCGTTTGCTCCTGGGAAGCTGGTATATTCTCTTCCTCACTTTCGCCAGTCAATGTCTCGATTGTAGCATCTGTTTTTTGGGCAGCTGGAACGCGCTTCAAAGACAACAACAATTTTGCTTATGATATCACGCACAGCATATTCTGTGATCACTTACCGGTATTTTAATTGTTGCATTCTCATCAATTGTGTTTAGCCCTAGTTGGGCATTGGTGCGTTTCTTAAATTTACGATACATAATGGATAATTCGCGCAATTTGTCGTGTTTAACAACAAAATTTGATGAAAAATACTTTTAAAATGAAATTCGCCGGTGCGCCAGGTACAGCAATAAAATATCGATAGCTATATATCGATTGAATATTTATAATAGTCGCACAACATTTTCTGTTAATTGGTATTTCTGTTAAACTGGCGGCAATGCTATAAAATTTCAATGCTAATCGTAAAGTATCGAAAGAGCAAGTTTAAAAAAAAAGTACTCAGAGTTTTCAAAATTAAACGAGATACTTACTTTTTGTCACCAAGTAACATTAGGTAAAAAGTTTTTCTTTCAAAAACCCATAAGAAATTTTCAGTTGTAATTCAAAATTCCAACGTTAGTAACTTCACTTTTTATTGAATATATAAGGATGAACAGTACTGTTGCTAAGTCTATTATTGTTTTTAAATATTTTAAATAAATATTGGTGTACGTTTAATACAAAGCATCTTTGCTACATATGTGTGTATATGATCGTTGGATATAAATTGTTAAATGTGCAAATATTGCAATTAACTACATGTGAATCTAATGGAAAACTTCCATATAATACTATAAATATTTGATTATAAACGTGATTGTAAATTTAAAGCCATTTTTCTTGAGTCAAATGTTCAATTTGCTTAACGATAACTTGTCAACTTATTTATATAATGGCATTACCTAATTATTTATATATTAAAAGTGCAATAAACTCTAACATGGATTAATAATATATGTATGAATTCTAAAAAGGAAGTACAAAATGTTTTTGGGTGATTATGTCAGCAATTGACGTATGTACGAAGAGTATTTCTCCTTTGTTCTTAATATAGAAAATCACTAATTTGGCTTCGGTTAGTATTGCTATATAGTTAAGTATTGTTTGATGTTTATGATCACATCGATGCAGTCCATAACGGATAATATGCCTTTCAACATCTGATTTATGTGTCGTTCTATAACTCATTCTCATTCTCTTCTCAATCCAAACTGTAATTGTTTCTGTTTGTTGCTTCGTTGTTTTTGTTCAAATATCAAATTATTGCTTTTTCGCACGACGTCTTTTATAGCCAGTCATTTGCCTCAATAGCTGCGAGTTCTCATCATCCATGTCCAAATTGGGCTCCCAGAGGCGTAGTCTTTTTGGTATGTATATCAGACCCAGTAGAGTAATTGCTGTAGATGGATATTGGAATGATTAATTGTGACATATGTATTTCTTACAGTATTTACTCACTATTCAAGACGCAAGGGAAGATAACGTAAAAGTTCAAAGTGCTCGAACGAAAGTAGAGTGCTTCAGTGGCATAGAAGACCATGGTAAGTGCCAAAGAACAGCCACCCATGCTGACAACGCTGTTCTCGAGAGACAATAACTATTACACTGTATTACCTTATGTATTTACCTAATACTTACGGCCTGTAGTGTATATACAGAGTACAGTGCACCAATGCGATTGCCTTTAGAAGACAGTACATGCCAATTATGCGAGATATAGTATAATCACCTAAAAGATTGAAATTTAGTTATATTACATGTACAAAGGTGGCACTTATATCTACCCTCGATGAACTGCGTATCGCTGTGATCGCCCAGAAAACTTCGCCGCTCGATATAGCTGCGAAACGCTGTGCCCAGATCCATAAAAGCAACAAACGCTATCCAACCACGAAAGGCGTAGAGCAGACGCTCGCGGGGTCGACTGCTGGCTGACTGCATTGCAGCCCTGAAAGGCACAAAATCACAATATATACAATTTACTTAATCAACGTCGTAAAAATATATGCTTGTATACGCAATGCCGGCCGGTAACTCTATAAATCGTCGCCCCACTTAACCCATGCGCAACGGTTTCAGGTGGGCGCTGGGTAAAATCGATATCACACCCACACCCACACCCACACCCACACCTGGCACCTTTATTATTTATGCAACGGCAAATATTTACACATGGGCCAATTAATAGCTGCACGCGAGCACGTGCTATGCGCACCCGGATGCGTGCCCCGGACACGCTTGAGGCTATTTATTTTCAGTCAACAAATGCGATGCCAGGGTCACCCCGAGCAACGGTATTTGTGGCATGCAATTCATAAATTGTAACTTTGTTTTGTGTACTCTTTCTTTTTGTTTTTGGCTTTGCTTACATTGCGAATGTCTTTTAGATTTCTAGGCACACGCGGCGTATGATGAATATACAATTATTATAGCACCGAGTTATTATTATGACAAAATGTAGCGTTTAACGATTGATTTTATCATTTTCCTTTTATCAACGCATTTTGCAACTGTTTGCCGCGACGCTTCGACGCAGATTGAAATCTTCAAACGCCAAGAAGCTTTTATGCAATGCGGGAGCTTTCGTGCCACTGGCCGGCCGGCTGTTTCAAATTGTACCGTAAAAGTTCTAGCCGTGACAGCAATTTAATAATAGATAAATACTTTTGATGTTAGCATCCGTTAATTTGAAAATCTCGTCTTTTGATTAAAAATGAGAACGAACAAAAACTCAATTCAGCTTTGTCATTTTTATTACGAAAAAAGTATAAAAAAAACAAGTTTTAACAAACTCAAATAAACAACTAAAATGTGTGTCAAGTTCTATGGCTCTCTCTGCTTATTAGTCGCCATTTTAATCTTTGCCAATAGTCGCTTCGGTTTTGCGATATTCAGCATAATCCACAAACCCATCGTTATTGATATCCATGGATTTCAGCACATAGTCTATGGTCTCCTCTAGCGCCTTATCGGTATACACGGAGCCCGTTTTGTGCTCCGGCTCCGCGGTTCCGTCGGCAGCCTTCTTTGGATCTTCAACTGAAATGACAAAGAAAAGGTTAAGTCTTAAATGTAATGATTAAAACTTTAAGTTCCTTTTAAGGCTAATTCCACCATGTCATAGGCTAACTAGAGATTATTCATATTTTGGTTTGTTCTATTTTTATTTTGTAGGTCATTTTTATTTGCTAAAAACACGTTTCTTATAATGAATTGCATGCGCATATAAAGTATATATCTATCAATTTCTAAAGATCAATTGAATGCAATAGTTTCAGAACATTTCGCTTGTTTTTTTTTTTTTATTTTCTTTCTTTTGTACAAAACAAATGTTTACACAATCAGCCTTTTTTTTCGCTGCTTTAAAGTGACGCCTAAAATTAACTTCATATTGAACGAATAACTAAAATTAGGGAAAGATTAAACAGAAAAACAAACAGTTTAATTGCACTGATCACAAAAGGAGATTCGTGTGTGCTATTATTCGAATTTTTGAGAAGTTGTGTAATAAATTATACAATTTGTTCAAAGAAGTTGCCCGATTGGAATGCTTGTAGCATGTTCAAAACATTTGTTTGAAGTATATTACAATTTGAGCTGCAATTGTTTGCGCCCAAATTTCAATTTGTATGTGGTGTGTGTGTGTGTGTGTGTGTTTGTGGTGAAACATGAGTACATGTAGCTGCACAATGCGGACCAAGACACTTAGACAGACATAACTATGCTGGATTGGTTTATGCAAGCTGAATCGATTGAACTAGATACTAATGGATTGGCTGCTGTTGTGGAGGCTGCTGCTGCTGCTGCTGTTGCTGTTGCTGCTGATGTTTTTCGGCAGCCTTCTGCTGAGCCTTAATAAACTCCGGATAATCGATGAAACCGTCATGCGATGTGTCGTCCATTTGCAGTATGGGGTCAATGAGCGCCACCAGCTCTTCGTCTGAGAATACTTTCTCCTCTACATGGGGCTTCTCGCCATTGGGCTGCTCTTTGCTGCCTTGCTCTACATACGGTTGATTTGAGATATGAATTATTAAAGCCACATGCCAAATGGGTTTAGATAATGTTGAACATGACCAGAACCATAACCAGAAGAAGCACAACCAGCCGAAATGTAGAAAAATTTTGTATATGCAAATAAAGGTAAAACAAAACACATGAATCAAACAAAACCAAAATCAACGCAAATATTTTAAGCAAGCTACAGACATGAAATACATAAATGAGTGGTACCCAGCGGTGCTTACCGTGCCAGTGGATCAGAGATTTGATCAGTTCACAGCCATCCAGTTTGTTGTTGTTGTCCGAATCGTGCATTTTGAAGTAATGGAACTGCAACTCAGCCTCGGACATTTTGCTCGTATCGATGGGCACTTGCATGTGCTCCTGGATGTGACTATAAAAAGATAATACATAAGTAAATAAACAGGTGCAAAGTTATCTATGCATATGATAAGAATATTTCCGTTACGATTCGGTTAATTTACAATACAGTTTCAGTCAGCATTGATTAATGGCAATTATCTTGTAGTTTGATAATTTTGTCAGGGCAGACACTTACGCACGCTCTTGCTGAATGTTGCCCGTATTCAAAACCTGCTGTGGCTGTCCATGATGATGTCCGCCCGCCTGCTGCTGATGATTCGGCACCTGTTGTGGATGCTGTTGCACAGGCTGCTGCATTTGTTGCTGCTGATGGATCTGCTGTTGTTGTTGTTGTTGTTGTTGTTGTTGCACGGGCACCTGCTGATATTGTACTTGCTGTTGTTGCTGCGGGACAGGCACCTGTGAATATAGGTTGGCATATTAGTTGCCTTGAATAGCAGCCGTATCCCTGACAACCACTCACATATTGCTGCGGCGGCACGCCGGGCGCAGCGTGTCCCTGTTGTTGGTACTGCTGTGGAGGTGGCGGCTGTTGGTGATGTTGTGGAACTTGGTGGGGCACTTGTTGCTGTTCCACATGACAAATAGTAGTAAGTAAGTTTGTAAGTCAACATCCAGCTGGTTGCACATTATATAAAAATATTCAGCATTTAATTCTACTCACATAATGCTGAGGATTTACGCCGGGTGCCACACGCTGTGCGCTGCTGTAGCCAACTAGGGCAAGCAGCAAGGCTGCTGTAAAGTCTGGCAGATGCATTTATGTGGAAGCGCTAATTTCGTTTGCGAGGATTTCGAATTTGGTGGCACGCACAATCACCACGTAGCTACTAGCTAGCTCAGCTATCAAAACACACACGTACACAAATTGATTCTGCTTCTTCACCTTTTGCCAGTTACACAGCACGACAGCTGTTGCACAGGTAAGCTACCTATCGAATTTGTTATCGGCCGTTTTCAACAAGGTGGCAGCGCCCTAAAATTTAATCCACAACCTGTTTGAGTTTTCATTCGTTTATTTATTTTGCTTAAAGTTTGAATAAGAAAACAATTTAAATGGTATAGTATAGCAAAAGTTCTTTTTACAGAGTTCCGCCAACTAAAAATAATACAAGCTTTTCAAAGTGTCCACTTGCAAGCATTTATTAAAACTACTTTCCACTTGACTGAATGTCCCCATTTCCCATTTTAATTATTATGCTAATTACTTTCTGAATTTACTTTCTTTTTGTGCGTAGGCTCGCTACTTTAAAGAACAGGATATCGATGGTAATTATACTAAGCATAAAATAGTCACTGCATGATTTCATTCCGAAAATATGCTTATCTATGTTTCTCCTTCCCCCGTAGAATTCCGCGAGTGTTTTTATCTTTTTGCTCGTTCGGGCCAAATTAACAATTTGGACGAACTAACGGTAAGCATTATTCATTTCAAAAATTTCTGAGCAACATTTCAGTTAATTTTGATCCAACAGGTCATTATGCGCTCCTTGGGCTTGTCACCCACTATACAAGAACTAGTTTCGTATCTGAAGCAAAAGAATGGAAAAATGAGTTTTGCAGACTTTCTGGATATCATGCACCAGCACTCTTCGGTGGAGAATCTACCAGACGAGGTGATTGCCGCTTTCAAAGCAGCCGATCCACAGAACAAGGGCACAATATCTGCAAAGCAGCTACGCAATTTGCTACAAAACTGGGGCGAGGGCTTGTCCGTCCGCGAGGTGGATAACATATTCAGGGAGGCGAATGTCAACAATAATAGCACCGTACGCTACGCTGATTTTGTGAAAATAGCCTGTGCACCGGTCCCAGATTATTACTAGACCAAAAGCACCCTGCAGGCAGCTGGCAAACAAGCGTGCTTTACATTCCAGTACTTATTTCAAATCTTATACTAAAACAAGCATGCACAATGCAATAAAGTTCACAACAATTGTATTTATGAAAAGTTTGTGGATTTATTAAAATGCGAAACTTTTCAACATGTTGAGAAGGTTCGACAGCCGATCTTAGTTGGCAATGGTGACCTCAACCTCTACTCCGGGCTCAATGTTGATCGAGGTGATCTTCTTAACGATCTCAGATGGAGAGTGCAAATCGATGATGCGCTTGTGTATTCTCATCTAAAATGTAGGAGGGAGAGAAGAGAATTAGTAAAAACACGCTTTCAAAATCGAGGTAAATTCTCAATTAATATATTGTCGAATTCGGAGAGCCAAATTGTGTGGGTTACCAGCAAAGTGGACTATGAGAATACGTTTAATCTGGGCAAATCGATGATACTGTGCAAAGGTAGTTTAAGTGCCAAAGCACGATATCTGATCTGTCCATTTAAGAACAATCGATGGCTGAACTTGAGACTCACCTGGAAACGATCCCAGGTCTTGGAACCCTCACCGCAAGGAGTCTTACGGGTGGTGATGCGTAGGATCTTGGTCGGCATGCGCACTGGGCCCTGAAATTTAAAATATTTTCAATTAGTTTCTGGAAAAAGCAATATGATGCAAACTTTTCGTTTGTTGCGTGAATCATATAATATCTTCACACTGTTTATCTCAATGTGAAAATAATGTCCAACTCAAGCATTTGATCTAGCATTTAATATTGACTAGGCTAAGTGGCAAGCAGGCACACAAAACCTCCAGGTAAATGCGGGCAAAGAATATTGAGATATCTACACGCGGCAGCGTTCTTCTTCTTACCTTGACACGCAGATTCTGGTTCTTGGCACCGTTGATTAAATCACGGCACACATTCTCCAAGGAGCGTACGTTCCTGGAAGTCAGAGTGATGCGAATGCGGTGTACAGATGCAGAATCGCCGCCATGGGGCTTCTCAATGTCTTTAGGAGCAGCAGCCTACAAGCAAAGAAAAAAAGTGAATTTGTGAGGTTATGTTACACACAATTGCACGCTCAACACGTGCAGTGTTTTTTATAACATTTCTTCTAAAAACGCGGAATACTTGATTGTTGCAAGCCGAGACAATATTGTATTTAAATAATTACCATTTTTAGCAATTTATCTGGTCGAGATAGTCAAATCTTTTTATTTTGAGCAGCGCTGAACCAGTTAACTTGCTGGTCAAAAACGAAATGGGACGAGTGCCAGTCACAACGCCACGAGCTGCAGCTATGCTCAGCGTTGCCACTCAGCCAAACAAACATCTGGCAACACAAGTTCAATACGCGCCGTTCACAACAACGCGCCAAACATCTCTTTTTGAATCAAATAATACACAAGTTGTTCGTCTATGTTATTTTTATTGCGCATTCTCAATTAATTTGCGACAAACAAATGCGACTGAAGTGGGACCAATAATCAAATAACTCCATATAGATTACAATTAAAATTATACAAGTCAAAGCACAATGTTGTATTTAAATATTAAATCAACGTTAATTAGTTTTTGTACAATAAAAATCTGTTACTCTTTTATGCATATCAAAATTAAAAACCACTCGACGATCTTAAAACCTAAGTACGTCTGAACAAACGAAAATATAAGCCGTTGCAATTTTTTTTTTAAGTAAATCGACAATTAAAAATCAGATAATGGTGTCCATCAAACTAAAATATATAACTTAATAAAGCAATAGGCTAAAAGTTTGTGTCCAAATTGTTGTAGGTATAGATATTACTTTACGGTTAAGTTTATAGTTAAACGCCCTGAACGCAAAAACAGACGCAACTCTGGCTAATGGGTTAAATAGATTTTAAAGCGTTTCCCTCTCGTATATGTACGCATATTTATAATGTGTATGGCTAACTAATGTACATTAATTATAGATTCGCGGCCTTTACCAACACCCACCCAGCGCACGGGTACGCTCAGTTGGCTCTCTAAGAAGCGTACGTAGTTTTGTGCGTTCTCGGGCAACTCCTTGAAGTTGCGTATGTGCTCAGTGGACGTCTGCCAGCCGGGAAGTACAGCGTACTCCACCTCTATGTCGCTCAGCTCGCTGATGGTGCCAGGAAAATGATCCAGTTTATCACCACTGCTGCGTTTATAGCTCACACCCACTTTAATCTCGGGCAAGGTGTCCAGAATATCGAGCTTTGTTATGCAAATGCAAGTGTAACCGTTAACCAGCGACGTGTATTTGAGCAGCGGAATGTCCAGCCAGCCGCAGCGGCGCTTACGCTTCGTAGTTACGCCAACCTCAAAGCCGCGCGTCTGCAGTAGATCGCCAATTTCCTGTACAAAACACAATTAATAACTAACAAGTGTACGTTAACAAGGACAAACATACGTTCAACTGCTCGGTGGGGAACGGACCATCGCCCACACGCGTCGTATACGCCTTGACAACGCCAATGACCTCGCCAATTGTTTGTGGCGGCAATCCCAAGCCGGTCAGCACGCCGCCAATACTGCAATTACTGCTGGTCACATACGGATATGTGCCAAAGTCAATGTCCAGCATGGCTGCATTAGCGCCTTCCACCAAAATAGTCTTGCCATTGCGCAGTGCCGTGTGCAAGAAACAAATCGTGTCCTTGACATATGGCCGCACCTTATCCACGTAATCCTTGTACCGCGCCAATTCGGCATCCACATCGACCTTAATCGATGGGAACAGCCGCAAATGTGTGTTCACAATTGATTTGAATCTGTATTTACAAATATGTTAGTCAGGCATTGAGAGGAGAGATCAGTATAAGGAGCCACTCACTTCTCACTGAACAAGTTAAAGTCACCAAGAAGTTCGCCCACGCGAATGCCATTGCGGGTGGCTTTGCTGGAGTAGGCCGGACCAATGCCCTTTTTGGTGGTGCCTAGCGATTTGCCGCCCTTCTCGGCCTCCTGCATACCATCGACATGCTGATGGAAATCAAACACCAGATGCGCACGATCCGAGATAATCAAACGATTCTCCAAGTGCTGCAATCCCTTAGCCTCATTCTTCAGCACCTCGTCGAACAGCGAAGGCAGATGAATAACGACGCCGTTGCCTAAAAATACGCAAATAACAAGGAAAAATATTCAGTAAGTTGGTGATCCATATGCTGCGGTGCGGTGTCGATTTAAAGGAAATCCCAATTCGGACTACTGTTAAATTATTTTGAATGTATTCTACTTTATTTAAAAATGGACCTCAAAGTTATTTTAATTTAGGCTGACTAAATCTGACGACTCAGAAAGTACATAAAAAATTTGTTTCTTTGTCCGTCTGTTTCTTAAAAACTATTCTGTCAGTTTTAAAACAGCCGGATCGGAACCGGCCGGCTCAGACGACTTCATTATATAGGTGAGAAACAGGATTGATCGGTCGAAACAGTGACACTTTTTAGATTATAGGAAGAATTGTTTACTGGATTCTTATTTTGAAAATTGACTTTATTTTTAATTCAAACATTAATATGATATTTCCAATGTCTCTGCAGGAATAGATTTTGTAAGGAAAAGGAAAGTTTTTTATTGAAAGTAGAAGCAAATTTGGGACTAAGGAAACTCCATTAATGCAATGATTTTATCAAATATCTTTCGCTATCTTATCTTTTCCCGAGATTAAAGGCAGTAAGTGGGTAAAAAAAAAAGAGTTTTATAACTGGCAATAAAAACACGTGCATGGATTCGCACCTTATCAGACTGCTCTGATAACTGGCTAGGCTTCAAAGAAATGGAGGAGGTACTTTGCGTTATCTTGTGTGTGGCATTAACAATAATTATATTCAAGTTGTCTACATTTCAGCTTTAGTTGACTAATTCTCAGACAATTTGTGCTGCCTGTTGCTGAACGTAAGCCTGTAGCACGCAACAGACTTCATGGGAAGTGCACTGTGAAATGCTTTCGCATAGAAATTTGCTTTTATAGTATAATCGAGTCGCAAATAATAAGTTAATTGCTTGATTTGACTAATTTGTCATGTATAAACGACGTACGTATATGCACATGTTGATGTGTGTGTGTGTGTGTTTGTGCTTTTGTTTATACAACCCTGAGCGAGATATCTGAATTGCAAAAGCTCACTAATACATGTGCGCAACGCGCCGTTACATGTATAGGTGAGGAGATTGTGATTATCTCATAAATTAGTCTTGTGACAGGCGATGACAAGCTACATTTTGCTGAAGGAAGGGCAATTTATCGGAAGGGCAATTTATCGATTAAACTTTAAGAAACAAACAAAATATGCAAAAGTTTAATAACTTAAATAAATAAATATGATAACAGCAAGTTGAAGAAAGTGTGCCCTGGCACGGGCACGACCTTGCCTTTTGCAACAATCAAAAACGGATTACGTCAAGCCAAGCAGCAAGAGCTCCATTGACGTCAAAATGCTAGACAAGAATCTAGATAGTTAATGGAAGACGGCAAAGGCCTAGAGAGTGTAACTAAAATAGAAAATAAATAGCCTTTATAATGCAGGCAGATGTCAAAGCCAAATGCGAGACCAACTGACCGCAAAAGCCAATGTCAATGTTGCATCAAGTCTTGCCAACAAAATTCTTATATGTAAACATCCGCACGATACATACTAGTTGTATATATGTAAATGAATATATATATATGTACTACATTTTCGTTTATTTCGTACGCTCAATTTCACTTTTGCAATAGAACGAACGAACGAACGAACGAAAGCAATAAAAACAAATTTCACTCTGTGGTATATATGTAGCTATAAAATGTAAAGGTGTGCGAGTTCTTCTTAAATTTAAATAAAAAATAAGAAAAATATACTGAAAGAAAAGCATTAGAAATGATAGAAAACAAACAAAGAAAGAAAAGAAAAAAAGATGCTTACTTTCATTGAAAAATATTCATTTTGAAAAATATTTCTTGCTTTCTTTTACTTGAGAATGTGTCAACAGTGGATAGTTGTTTGTGCCTTATACCAATAGAGTAGGAGTTTCTTGATATCCCTTTGGCATCCAATAAACCGGGCCTCTTCCCTTGTACCACTTACCGATGACCGAAATGCACTTCTCGTTCACGACGCCGCTGGGCAACAGATGGAAATCGAATTCGGTGCCATTTGCCACCACAGTATGTCCAGCGTTATTTCCGCCCTGTTGAGTACCGATTAGAGAGGGGAGAGATTGGAGAGGGGGGGGAAAAAATAAATGAGAGAAATTAGAGAATGAGAAACTCTCGCATACAAATGAAAGCACACGTAAGTATACTATATGGAACATATACATACATATACACATGTATGTGTGGCATAGCGTAGCTGTTTATATACAGAATTAGCATGTTTGTTTTTGTTGATTAAAACTTGTGTGATAAATAAATAAATATTGTTGAACAGCAGGTATTAAATAACAAATAAATAGCCAGGCGGCGGCCGTGTATATGGCGTGTGACACAAAGTATCCACAATATTTCAACTACTTTTGTTTATGCGATCGTATGTATGTCGTACATCGACTTTTTTGTCGAACAACTTTTGAGTACCTTCATACATATACTTAAGAGGTACGCAGACAATGTATTTGTACAAAATGAATCCTTGCAGGAATTGTAAGAAAACTTCCTATCTCTTTTAGCGGACGGACGAGCTGGAACCTGCGTGTCGCCTTTAGAGAGTTTTCACTGTACATGCATAACTATTTGAGCAAAATGTTTTGCTACAAAATCCGATAAATAAAAGCGAAACTTTTGTTTGTTTTCTTGGCAACTGTACAATTTTCTGGCATGTACTAATCTGGTCTCGCTGAAAGCAATACAAAAACATTGGCACAAATGCTCTGGAATTAAACTTCAGACTCGAAAATATGTCAAATTTGCCGTTTGCAAAACGAGATAATTCAAATTGTGTATGTGCTGTAGAGGATCGCTTACGCAGATAAGATTATAATGAATATATTGCTAAATGCAAGAAACTTTCGCTGCGCAATTTATGAAAAACGGAGGCGTGTGCTGTGTGACTCAGATAATAGCAAAAAAAATCAGTTTCAATGGGGGAATTACATAAGAATCCACAGCAATGTTGATAACAAAGTATAAAGCAAAAGGGAAACAATATTGTATGTGGTCGAAGGGAACTAAATCGGTTCCGTTCATTGAACTGCCGACCCAGAACAGAATTCAACAAGTTGGTAGCACCGGGTCAACAAAATTGTGACACGCAATTCAATCGAACAGTTAAGAAATGCTTCCTTTTTTGGTTAAGAGTTAAATTTACGAAATTCATATTAAAATACATACATACATTTGTGTGCTAACGTATGGCTAAACATCATGTAAGATATTTGTGCGGCACTTTTTGAAAAGTGCGCGGGACATTCACAATGGTGATTATGTAAACCTGGCGTTTTGCTTAGCAGGCCATGTGTGTGTGGTAGTGTATACATATTATATGCATGTGTACACATACATACATATATACATAACATTTGTGTGCTGTAGAACGGCGGAACAACTAACGTCAGGGAGAACGAGTGACGAATTTGCTGAAGCAGCAGACGTTGGCAGACTGACTGACTGTGCACACATACACAAAACAAACGCATACATACAGAAAGTGTACTATGAGCATATGCGCGCACACACCCGCCGCCGCAGTCACAATTAATACATACATACATCTGTACATCTGTATGTATGTATATTCAAATGAAAAAGCGAAGCATGCGGTCGCCAACCACGGCGATAATAGCTAATTCTGAAGAAAATAAGTATCTACATGTGAAATGCCCAGTTGCTGTTGCAATTGTTGACTTGAAAACGCGCAGCGATTTATTTTCTGTATGACAGCCTCGGGGTTTGGCGTCGGCGGCAATGAACCTGGCGCGTATGCGTGTCCTTGACACAAGGATAACTGTTATCAGCTGCTTATACATTTTTTCTTTGCTTATGCCCTGATTTTTCACACAAACATTATAAATATATTTTTTGTGTTGCTTACCTGACACCTGCAGACAATGTCCACTTCCGATGCGAGCATGTCCACCACCTTGCCTTTGCCCTCATCGCCCCATTGGGCGCCTAGGACAACATCCACTTTTGACTTGTACATACTGGTGCGTCCTTGATGCAATTGCTGGTAGTGATTACCATTAACTGCGATTGTTGTTGACATTTCGTACCACAATCAGGAAATTCTCGGCACGGCCACGAAAACGAGCACGACGTTGATCTCGCTTGAAAACGGAACACGTTCTGTTTTTATAAAATAGTTTGATTTGCAGCTGTCAGTCCATGGCGTTACCAGAATGAATGCATGGTTTTGTGAGTAAATCGTGTAGCGTTGCCAGTTAGGTTGAGTTCTCGATTTAAAATATTTGAAATGGAACTTTATAGATAAATGTGAAGCTATGTGTTATGCAACATTTTGATAAATAAACGTTATGTATAAAGTTGTCATTTTCAGATGTTTTCTATAACTCTGCATTTTGTGTTCTCTTTGTTGGAAATTTGAATTAAGCCTGCGCTTCTTGTTTGTGTTTTAAGTGTTTTATATCACTATTATTGCTATTCAGCGTAAAGCGCGAACATTTCAAATAGGCTGGCAACACCGTCCAACATATGTCAACTGCCAGATTGTTTTGTTATCACTTAGTTGAGGACGCATTTTCAATGCCCGAGATGTCTGAAGAAAAATGTCACTTGTATGTATATAGAAAACTACAGATCATATTAAATTAATTGACAACATTTCTAGCTGCCATGAGGCGCCCTTTAAATACACTTGTCCAAAGTGCAATGCGATCTACTGCAGTGTCGCTTGCTACAAGTCGAAGGAACATCTGAAGTGCTCTGAAGAGTTTTATAAGACGTGCATCCAAGACGAACTGGCCAGTGCAGCAACAACGTCGGAAAGCAACAAAGGCATGCGTGAGATATATGACATCCTAAAACGTATGCACAAATTTGACGCCGGCTTTAAGCCCGAGGACTTTGATGCCGATGGGCTAGACAGTCCCTTAGATTCGGATGATGAAGCGGAGCTCGATCAAGATGGTGAAGGGGTTGAGGGAGACGATGGCACAGAGTATCCTACTCAAGAGGAGACGGATGAGACTGTGGACATTGCTGAGCGTCTGAAGGGCATCGACATAAATGATGCAGATGAAGTTTGGAGCCGATTGACAATGGACGAGCAGCAGGAATTCCAAAAACTAATAGCAAGTGGTGATATAATGAAACTCATGCCCGACTATAAGCCCTGGTGGTGCAAGCCAAAGAACTCAAAGATTGTGGTCATGCCCTCACCAACAGATGTTAACGTTGACATGCCCCAAATACAAAAGAACATACCCAAGTTCACGGACCTATGCAAGACACCGTCGCCGTGCTTGCACTACAATCTCTGGAACATATTGAGCGCATACGCGTGTGTGTCGCGTTTCTTTGGCGGCGAGCAGCGCACCAGTGCCAGTGAAGCTGTTGCCCATTTGGTCAATCTCAGTGCAACGTTGAAGTATGGCACCAACTTCGAGGACGCTGAGGATGCTATTATATCGGTGGAAATGGAGGCCTGCACCACGGGGAATGGATCGGCTGGTGCTGCTGCTGTTGGCAGCGCAGGTGCAGGTTCAAATTTCCTAGTCGAGAGTCGCGAACAGTTGCAGCAGGATGCGCGACAGCTCATGTCTACGCAACAAAATAAATTGGCGGCATTGAGTGATGTCCTTCAATTGCTGCAGCAGAGCAAAGCGTTGAGCAGACGGAAAAATTCAGAGGAAGCTGAATTCCAGAAGCTCTTCGCGCTTGCCAGCGGCAGTGTTGAGTTGAATCGAACCAAACTGTCACAGCTGGTCAAGAAAATAGAGTTTATGCTGTCGTATGTGGCTAGGGAACAGGTCCTGTGAGAACGCTGTCAAATAAAAATATTTAGTTCTAACACAATTTAATTCTGCCAAATTTTTATTGTAAGTCCACAATATGAATGTAATGGATACCTGTCTGAACAGCCATGTGCGTGTGATACTAGCTAATTGCTTGAGTGCGGCTCTGGCGGTTGTGCAACCCCAAGTAAGTAGTTTCGCATTCGAAAACTCACTATTGGAGCACAAGAAAAATAAATAATTTTATAAGACCGGCATTTGACAAACAGGAATAATAGAATATAACACGCCACTGTATTCACACTGTTAACTAAATTTAACAGCTGGTGTAAACTAACAGAATGTCAAGCAATGTTTTGGGTAAAATTATGCTCCAGTCTGACAATCGTTTCTATCGTGTGTGGCGTGCATTTTAAGAAATCAGTACAATAATGCTAAATTTTTATAATATAATTTTAATTCACTTCTATAATAAGCATCATTAATTCAAAATGGTTTAGCGCAAATATTCAAATTATAAGTACCATTCAAATTGCATCAGGTGTCATACTCGCATTGGAACTACATGACCGCTGGCGCGAACCAGCAGCATTTTGCAGCCCTCGTTGGCACAATATCTAGTTGTCGCTTGCCAGCCCTGCCAGTTTTTTTAGTTGGCGATTTCAGACACACACGCAAGTTGTAGTGCTTTTTACGGCTATTTTGTTTTTTGGTATGTCCAAGCGAATCGACACGGCATCAAATGCAAATGTTAGTCGTGTGCCACAGTATGCCAAATGCCAAAAGTGCTAAATTAATACATGTGGCAAAGCAACAACAACAACAGCAGCAATAAGAACATTACATAGAACATTTTGTGTGAACGCGTTTACGTTTTGGGTGCGGACAACGGTGCGGGATTGTGTAGCGGAATTTGAAATGCGTGCTATGTGTGTGTGCGTGTGTGTATGTGTGTAGTCTATCTGTCTGTGTGAGCGAAGTGTTCTTCTTCGCTGCGCTTCACTCGCTAAATTAGTGCAAAAAAAGGAAACAATTTGTGTGCGCCAGTGTGCGTGTGTATGTGTATGGCGCCCATTAAGTTTTAAACAAAACATTAAATCGTCTAGAATTAGAACTTATGTAAGCTAGACTAGCTGGATACAGGTGCAAATATTTGTTATTAATACGTAAAATTGTTCAATCTTGGCCAGAGATAAACAAGTTTTGGGCCGTGCGCTGCTTATCTTTTTTGGACTGCGTTGCTCCTTAAGTGTGTGTGTGTGTGTTTGACTACGTACGTGTGTGTGTGTGCCTGCTTATCTATCTCGACAAATATGCGAAGTATGCGTCAACCTGTTTGTTAACTTTCTGTTAAAAATTTCTACTTCAATGCTGCGGCGTCGGTGACCGCGACGATAAAAACAACAACAACAACAACAACAGAGCAACAGCAGCGACATCTGCACCAACAACAATAATCAAATTAATAAACAACTTGGCTACGAGAAATCAAAGTCGCATAACGTGTACAATGCTAAATAAGTAGTTATGACTGCATGCAGCTAAATTTATAACAGCAAAGCGAATAAAACACCCAATGGAAATAAAACACCGTAAGCAATACGGCACTGAGCGTTGACGCTGACGCTGGCGTTGACGATGACGATGTCAAAAGCAAAAGCTCAGCTGCCAGCAGTGTGGCAGACGCTTGTCGCTCGGCGGGAGAAACTGGATGGGGCGCAGCCTAATCCGAAACGGAAGGCTCTCTCTCTCTCTCTCTCTCTCTTGCTTGGAGCCCCGCCAAACGCCGGCAGTCAGTGACCGAATGTCTGCATGCGGCTTCATTGATAACATAATTGTGTGTGTGTATATATGTGCATCTGCATATGTGCGTGTGTGTGTGTGTGTTTGGTTGTGTGTATGTGTGGCAACCTTTGCATTGTTTACAAACAGCTGATGGGTTTGTTATACCCTGTGACCGTTTCAAAAAGCCAACACGAGGATATAATGCTTTTGTGCAAGCTTATGTGACAGGCAGCTGCAAGCTAGTTAGTTTTTCTCTCCATTTCCATAAATGCTTCCTCTGACTATATTCTAAAAGTTAAACACAAGTTCGCATATACCAAGGTTTTTTTTTTTATCGATATTTTCATTTATTACCCCAAAATATGATAAATATCGTTGTCAGTCTAGATTTTTAATAGGTGTATACAGTTTTTGATATAAACGCACTTTAAATTTGCATCTGTATGCACCACAAATTCCAAAGAGATCGAACAACATATATTTTTTTTTACAATGTGTGACGTCCAAAGTACGTTAGGAATATACATGCTTATACATGCATTGGGTGTAGGGTATCTACTAGTCGAGCACTCTTGATTCTCTGTTTTGTGTCGCCTGCAACTCCATTGAGCGCATATCAAATCAATTGAACGTGTTGCGTTAAGTTAAAAACGCCTTGAGGTAATTGATAAAAGTGGTTCCCAACTCTCAAATCACACACATACGCACACATATGATTAAAAAAACTGTTATCAACATGTGTATATGTGTGTGTGCACGTATTTAGTTTGGCGCTTTCGTAAGAGGTTTCCAATAGTAAGGCGCCAATTGGTTTGACAATTGTCTGGCCTTTTAAATCAAGACTCAATTAAATTTAGTTAGCAGCAAATTTGATTTGTTTATTTTTGTAAATAATTGGCCAGTTGCTCACCTGTTAAATTGGACTATTTTGTGCCTAAATTTAACAGATTTTCTCTAGCTTTCAATTTAAACAATACCGCGAATTCCCGATTGGCTAATAATTGTCGATTATAAGGTTTACAGTCAATTGATTTACTGGAACGACCGCTGTACTTTATTGCTTCGAAGAAGTCTCGTTTGATTCAATACACAGTTTGTGACAAGCGTATAATTAAAGGCATTCTTTCTATTTTACAGTATGATGCATTCAAAGAGGTAGAAAATAAAAACTACAAATCATCCAAGATTCCATTGCCTCTGCGCATTTATATTTTTAATCATATCGCGTAATGTCTATCAAATGAGATTTAGCAGCAAGCTGTTGCATGACAAATGCCCATTGGATAACTGAGAGCTCAGCACAGAGATCGTTTATTGTACATACTTATTATGACCTAAAGATTTATTGCTGCCCTAACAATTTATGTTGTTGCCTTGTCATAAAGGTTGGACACATAAAAGCTGAACAGCGAAGCTTTTTGTTTTGTTGAGTTGCTTAACATGTATTCATTTTATATTATCATTTATAGGAAATGTCCCACCACAGCGATGATCAGCTTCTGCAGGCTGGAAGTGATTCCTTCTGGGAGCCTGGCAATTACAAACGCACCACCAAACGCATCGAAGATAGCTACAAGTGAGTAAAAAAGTATACAAATTGTAAACACTGTTGGGTCATTGCCAGCAATAACAAAAAACCTGTTATTAACTTGTCTCACTCTCTCTTTCTCTCTCTTTCTCTCTTTTTCTCTGTTTGCTCTCCCTCTCTCTCTGATCTGCCTGCACAGACTCTGCAACGACCTACAGCAACTGATACAGGAGCGCGCCGATATTGAGAAGGGATATGCAAAAAGCTTGCGCGCCTGGTCCAAGAAATGGGGTGAACTAATTGAGAAAGGTAAGCGAAACAAGTGAGAACAGTTTGCAATAGCTTGTAACCGACTGCGCAATACTCTGTTTCCTTGTTATAAGATGTTCAATCAGGCAGTTGGGCTGACGACTTTAAGACTGTAAGCAATGTGATATATGATAGCAACATTCAAAGCCAATATACCTTACTCACTTTAGGAACAGCATATTAATTTAAGGAAAAGAGAGTTGATGAAACTCTATAAACTACATACTCTATATAAGCTTTTATGTATGTATCTGTGTGCTTATAACCGTGTTATTTGTGTACACATTCATTCACGCCTGCTGAACGGCCCAATGGAGCAACAACAACAATAGAAACAACAGCAACAATAGGAGCAAGAACAACAACAACAACGATAACAACAGCGATGACCCGTTGCCAGCGTCACTTCTCAGTGGGCTGACAGACTTCTGTTCTTCTTATTTGCCACATTTTGTGTACATTATATACTGAGCATTGTTTTTGTTGTTGTGCGATAAGTGGCTTAAGCTATTAATGGGCTTTTTTGTTGCCCTTTTTTTGCACCGTCTTTTACCTGTTGTCATCGGCAGCTTCGCACTCTCGCACTCTGGTGCCAAATAGCATGAAAAATATTTCAGATAACTACTAAAGTGGGGGGATGGTCTTACAGAATATTCCATTTTACAAAATATTCCATTTATTTCGCTGTACTTCTATGTAAAAAAGTCATTCGATTCTGTTAGTTCGCAAATGCTAGTATGAAAATAAGTTTGAATTAATAAGTCGTACTGAGGTTCGATTCGTGAACCACAGCCATGAAATTAGGTTCTGGTTTTAGGTTCTAACCTTGGCTTGTCACATATTACTACAATATCAAATGTATGAGGATGTGTATACATTTTACACATTCGGTGATCGTAGTAAAATGCTTAGAAGGTTATAAAAAACAATTGAAATGTCAGCTTCGTGCCAGCCATTCAAAAATAATCTATTTATGAATATTAATTTTCATTCATAGTGCATGTCAATGGCACCTATCTGAGCTTTTGATCTCAAAAATGTCCCTTATCCATATGATAACCAGTTAAGCTTTTCCTTTAGGCCTGGAATGCCGAATTTCCGTAAAAAGCAAATGTCACTGCACCGATTTTTGCCATGTTCATTCGACACAATTCGTGTTCCAGTGTGCATGTTGACTTTTGTGAAATGAAATCGAGTACACTGCGCGCAAAGTTGGTAGCCGTTTTTGCTATTGCTGTTATTTTTGTTATTGTTGTTGGTGTTGTTGGCGTTGTTGTTGTTAGGCCCACCGCAGACGCCGCCTTTGCTCTCTGCCCACTTTCACAGTGAGCACGACGGAACACAGCAATTGCGGACGGGGCAATATACATGTAAAAGCGGCTTCTACGAGCGCGCGACAATTTTCATAGCGAATTTGCCTAGCTGCGTCTAGCCAGAGTTATCAGAACCTCTCCCCGATTCCCGCCCCGCCCACTCAACCAATTGAAAGAGTAGCATAGTAAACCGGCACCAAAGCGTCGCTCGAAATGGTTTCAAAAATCAATGCGATGAGAAAATAGAACGTGTTTATTTCTGTGTTAAGCGCCTCAATTTGTATGATGTACACATATGTGTAATATGTGTGTGTGTGTGTAGTTTTTTTTAGTGTGTGTGTGGGGTGCCAATTGAGAATAGTTGAGTGGCCGTTAGTCAAAATGGTCAAACGAGTTTCGTGCATTCCCAATTTGCAATTATTAAGTGGGCATCATATAAACTTTATTACGGTTTTTCATTTTTTGTTAGCACGCCATAAACATGCCAAAAATGTGCCACACACACGCACACACTCACTCCCCACACACACACAATCCAAATAGACTTCGAACTGATTAGATAAAAAGGCACGTCAAGCGTCGATGACATCAGCTAAAGAGCAGACAACTACCTTTAAATCTTTTAATAACGACACTAATTACCGTTAAATGATGTGACCAGTGTTGATAAACAATTAATTAATCATGTGTTTGATTCGATGGCAGGGCCCGAATATGGCACCACAGAAGCTGCTTGGAAGGGCGTATTAACCGAATCGGAACGTTTGTCGGATGTACATATGAAGATCAAGGATAATCTGTGCAATGATGTCAACACTCAGATTAAGACCTGGCAAAAGGATAATTACCATCACACGCTCATGCAGATCAAGGAACGCAAAGACATGGATGATCTGTTCAAGAAAGCACAGAAGCCCTGGGCCAAACTGCTGGCCAAAGTGGAGAAGGCCAAAGCGGATTATCATTCAGCATGCAAAACGGAACGCAGCGCCACCAATCAAGAGCGAAACGCTAATGCCGACAGCTCGCTGTCGCCGGATCAGGTTAGTTATATAATATAACCTTTAGTTAGATAGACAGTTGTATGGCTTTGCTTAACAACGTATTATATTGCAGGTGAAGAAGATGCACGATCGCGTGCAAAAGACCAAAGATCAAGTGCAAAAGTGCCGCGAGAAATATGAGCAGGCCATTGGCGAAATAACCAAATATAATTCCGTTTACATTGAGGATATGACATCCGTATTTGAGAAGTGCCAAACCATGGAAAAGACACGACTGCAGTTCTTCAAGGAAGTGCTATTCAATGTGCACGAGTGTCTCGATCCGACCAAAGTGCAAAAGTGAGCTCAATTTCTTTTTGCCTGCTCACAAATCAAATCTCAAATGTTAACCTCCTGTTTGATTGCAGCCTGCCCCAAATCTATGAGGAGTTTTATCATACAATTAACAATGCGGACCAACAAAAGGACTTGAAATGGTGGTCAAATAATCATGGCATAAATATGGCCATGAATTGGCCAGCATTTGTGGTAAGTCTTAGTCGGAAATTCTTAAGAAAGTCATTTAAAATCACGTTGCATTTGCAGGAATACACGGAGGAGTTCCGTGACATAGCCAAGGGCAACAAATCGAAAGAGGCGCTGCCTGCCGCGGCCATAACGCTCATCAATCAGCGACCCGTTGCCGAAGATGTGCACGTAAGTCGGCCGGGCTCTAATTAAACATTTAATTGCCTTATTAATTGTGTTTACCGCACAGGAATACCCAACAACAAATAGTCTAAAGAAGAACGCGAGCGTCAACAGTAAAGCGAGCGGCAAGAGCAGCCAGCAGGAACAAGCATTAAATCAAACCTCTGCCACATCAGTCGAAACTAAATCAACAGTGTCGACAACAGCGGCGGTCGGCGCTGCGACAGCAACAGCGGGTGCAGCGACGGCAGCGTCAGCGGCGGCGGCAACAAATCGCAATCCGAGCGTAACGTAAGTTGGAAACAGTTTCTGAATCCGAATTGTTTTGGATTACACTCGAGTGGTCACCGTTGTTGCTGCTATTTGGTTTTGTCGCTCATTTTCATTGAACTAATTGATTTCAATTTTCATGTACACAGCAATGGCAACGGCAAAGTCGATGCAAACCCATTCGACGAGGAGGAGGAGTGGGACGAGGCCGACAATGTGCTGGTCGACAACGGGGAGCCGGGTGTGCCGGTGAAGGCCTTATACGACTATGACGGCGCTGAAAGCGACGAGCTCACATTCAAGCAAGGTATGAAAGCTACCTATATGGCAACTGTCATTCTCTCTTCTAATCTTTACTTTTTTCTGCTGTACCAGGTGAGGTTTTTGAGAAGCTGGAGGATGAGGATGAGCAAGGGTGGTGCAAGGGACGCATGAACGGGCGTGTGGGCTTGTATCCAGCGAACTATGTGGAAATCTTTCACTCATAAGTGGTCAAATTAGGTGAAGTGCAACTGGATGTGTGCGGAGCGTGCATTGAGAATATTAAGTTATCAAGATAATACAGTTAAAAGTATGTATTGCGGATTGCGTATACAGTAAAAGAAAAGAAACAAACGTTGATGAAATTATTATGATATGTATTAGAATTTGTTATGAGCAATTGCTCACACCATGGTGTGGCATCTAATGTATTGAACATTGAATTTGTGTTGAGCAAAGCCAATCCAACCTACCAACAAACAAAAAAATAGAAAAGAAAAGAAAGCAAAACAAAACAAAATATAAACATGATACTAACTCACCCACAGTAGAATTGAAATGAATGTAGCTAAAGAACCAGGAAAAACAGAATACAGATTAACACTAGATAAAAGGTCAAGAGAACAATAAGTGTAAACGTCAATGTATGAAATAATATTACAAAAAACATATTACATATGTATTATGCTATAGCTAAAACTGAAATGTTAGCAAGGTTTTTTTTGAATGTGCGCGCATTTTTTACTGGATTCAGCTGGTCGTTCACATTTTTGTGGCCAATTGCAATCTGCGTACGATTTAAAAAGCATATTCAAATATGTGCGTGGTATTTGTAATGCGTTTCATGAACATTTTTTATTATTTATGAAGTTTTGTGTATACTTGTGTTATAAAAAGTATACGTATATTATTGTATATGTACATTTTTAAATAACTTAAATTATTGAAATAAAACTAAAATACAAAACCGAATAACAACTAAATGTATTTTAATCGCAGCTCAGTGCTCGGCACTTGTAATTTTTTATCTTATACTATGTTATCATGTTCTTGTTAACTACGCCGAGCCCACATGCGACATTGTGATAGTTCTTCTTAAAGAATGCACCAGCATAGTAACTACTCCGTCAAATCAATTACTGCATCAATAATATATTATTTATTTAATTTAGCATACATACAAAAATATTAAATAATACGCTTATCTCAAAAATTATTATTATGAATTAAACTTGTATACACGTCTATTCAGATAAACAAACTCATACACACTTAAGTTTATGAGAACGGGATGTGATAAATATTTGAATCCGAAGTTAAAATATAGCTCTTAGAGCGTTGAGTGTAGATTACAATGGCACAGTTTCAGTTACGAAGGCTTCGCGATCGGACCTCACAACTATGAGAGTATAACTGGTGTATTACTATTTGTGATGTATGCATTCTTTTGAAATGGCAAATATTAAGTATCAGCTTATTAAAGCGGAAACCGCATGGCCGCATGGCGGGAGAATCGTCGTGCATAAGTTTCTAAAAATCAGCGCTTTATGTGGCATCTTTCTGCTAATTGTCTGCTATAGTTGGTCCACCTGCGTTACAATTATCCCATCTCAGGGCTATAGTCCGTCAGACTGCACGGGCTCAACTAACGATCAGTATGACGCTTCCACTGAACAAACTGAGTCCAGTCCAGACGAAAAAATTTATACATCGACTCGAGCACAGTTAATACCATTTATACGGCGAAACGAAACCTTGGGTAATTATTTAGCTTGTTGAAATCGAAACAGATTATGTGACCTGCATTTACACACATAGGTCCCAACATATTGGACAACTACTTTGTGTACACCTCGCAATGTCGCATGCCCGCTCTGAATCCCTTTGCCAGGGATGCGCTTAGGATATTCAAAAAGACAACGTATAACACTTGCGACCCAAGCATGGATCTAATATCTGTAGTCTATGATGACGGCAATCAACGCTATAAGCTGCACATGAATGAACCGAAAATCAAATGTTGCTATAAGGCGATTCTGCGCAGCGGAAATGGTGCCGAGGCGGACAACAAGTTCAAGTAGGTGCCGCAATAGACTTCAATTGCAGCAACATATTTATGAATGGCATTATAGATTGCTGCCATGCACTTATTTTCCCCAGGATTTCGTCGTGCCACAACGCGTAGATGCGGTCATCACCGAATGCCGTCGCTTGAAGGACAAAAAGTTGTTGCAACAGGATGCCTTTGGCTTTGTGCAACCAGCGAAACATGTGGGCAATCGCACTACTTTGAATAATTCGATTGTGGATCAATCCCCTGAGAGTAGACCCAGTGTCCTGCTCTGGGGCATTGACTCCATGTCGCGAATGAACTTCCAGCGAACCATGCCGCTGATGTACAAGTATCTGAGGAAGGAGAACTGGTACGAGCTGCAGGGCTACAACAAGGTGTGTGTGTTTCAATAAAACAGTACACACTTTAACAATGAGAAATGCCATTCGATTCTTTTCAGATGGGAGATAACACATTTCCCAATTTAATGGCGCTGCTCACAGGATTTAACAACACAAGATCAATGTCTGTCTGCCGGCCAAAATCGGTGGCTGGCTTGGATGCTTGCCCATTACTCTGGCAGACGTACAGGCAGCTGGGATATATAACAGCCTATGCCGAAGACTGGGGTCGATTTTCTACATTTAACTATAACAAGAAGGGATTCGTCAAACCGCCAACAGATTACTATCCACGTCCTCTCATGCTCGCCGTCGAGAAGGAGCTCAAAAAAGTATTGGTTTCCAGAATACCCTACTGCGTTGGGCGTCGACATTATGCGGAGTACATTTACGATTATGCCATACAGTTTACTAGGGTGCACAAAAATCAGTCCACCTTTGGCATGTTCTGGACGAATTCCTTTAGCCACAACGACTTTGCCCTGCCCTCTTCCATGGATGCCAAGATCCTTGAATATATGCACACATTGCAGAAAAATGGAATCTTTGAAAAGTCCATAATTCTATTCTTTAGTGATCATGGCATGCGATTCGGTCCACTGCGCAGCCTGGATAGTGGATTCTTGGAGGAACGCATGCCTATATTATATATCTGGCTGCCAAACTGGTTTAGGCACAAATATCCGCAGTTTGTGCATAATTTACAGCTGAATAGGAATCGTTTAACCTCGCCCTTTGACATCCATGCTACGTTGCGGCACATTCTGGAGCTGGACACGCCGCTGGCAGAGCTGTCGCGACCCGAAGGCTGCCCCAGTTGTCATAGCATCTTTTATGAAGTCGCCGAGTCGAGGGACTGCCGGGATGCGGGCATTACCGATCATTGGTGTACTTGCCACACGTTCAAAAATAACTCACTAACTGATTACCATATTAAGGAAATCTCACAACAGTTGATTAATGCCACAAACGCCTATCTTGTGGCCAACAATCTGACCGACGTTTGTCAGACTCTAAGATTGTCAAACATCGAGTCGGTGCAGAGAAAAATTAGTTTGAAAGCGAAGGCATTTGAATCGTATCTTGTCAGGTACGAGGCCCAACCGGAGAATGCCCTGTTTGAGGCTTCAACAGATTGGAACAACAAAACTCAGCGAATCTCCATAAGCGTGCCTGATATAAGTCGTCTGGACTCGTACAGTCAGCTATCCAAGTGCGTAGAAGATAATATTGCTAAAAAGTTTTGCATATGCTATGACTATGCAGAGCTCAAGCCCTAATATTGTCTATTTCCGCATTTGTTTATCTCCGAGATAAATGCATTTATAATTTATATTAGTTCTTCCTTGGAAGTCCCAAGCTGGATGTTTGCTATCAAATAATTGAGCTATTTTCATCGTGATATGGCCTGTGCACAAAGTTTTATTTAAATACATAATTGATGTTAATATTAATTTATAGGCATTTATAGCCATACTCTATAGTCTTATGATTAAGATTCAATATTGTGTAGTATTCAAGATCATTTGAAGTGTGCTATAGAAGTGAATATAATACGTTAAAAATACGATTGGTTGTAAACTTGCCATTTGCACTAATCGCATTTTTTTTTATTAGTAGCTCTAAAAGTTATAATTCTTGTTAAAGATATAAAGCCAAATGATTTCACTTTCCTTGCATGCCTCATCATTTTGCTTATCAGTTTGGGTACATTGATTGAAACTCTAAAAATTAAATGAAAAAAAAATTAAATACCAATTGGAGATTTATGCACAGCCCGATAAATTTTTAACCAAAGATCTTTGTTAAAAATCATTCGAGAGGTGTTTTACACATTTCGTAAAGTATCATAAGTCCCCAAAAAATCATTTGATATTATGCAATTTTTGTAACACATTTATTTTGGGGCTTTTCTAAATTTTGATTTGAACTAAACAATAAACTTCGTTAGAGTTCTAGATACTAAAGATAAATATATCAAACCCGATGATACATGCAGCTATCAGCAAGAAATTGAATAGGGAACTTCTATTGAGCGTTAGGTGACGACTCTGTGGTAGATAAATACTACAAATTAGTGTTTTGTTTTTTTTGTATAATGATAAGACCATATCAGGGCTCATATAGGAATTAGCAATGTTGTGAACCCGACGCATATTTTTATATATTTATATACGAGTGTTTGCTGAATCGGCTGCCTTGATAACCCCACAAGTAGTTGGCAGTCGGCTAGGAGGCACCATGCAGAGCACATCGATTATAAAAACAGCAAACAAATAAAAATCGGCTTAAAAAGAAATGTGATTTAATACATTAATATCTATGGCAAAATTGAAATACCAGTTGCTTGGGCCACAAAGTCCGCCACGTTTCGGGGATCGGACCTTACGGCTGCCCTTCAAAGTGCTGCTAGGCTCTGCCTCGGTTCTGCTGCTTGTCTTGTATTATCTTAGACACGTCTCAGAAACTAGGCCAACTATGGAAACTGATTTAAATGATCTAAGGCTTACTTCAACGACTACATTAAGTCCAAGTACGCAGATACCAATTGAAATTAAAGTCACAAATTCAACTTTGGGTAATTGTGAAATATGCGGTGTAGTTCATTCGAGCTTAATTCAAATTTCTTCAATATCAGCAGAGCCCAACGTTAGTAAATATTATGTGAAAACCTCCAAGTGTCGTATGTCTGCCCCATATCCCTTTACGGCAGATGTTTTGAAAATATATAAACCAAAAACATACAAAAAGTGCGATCCAAGTAAGGATCTAATCACCGTGCACTTTGAAGAGGGTCTCTACAGGCTGCATATGAACGAAGCGAATATCACATGTTGTTATAAACAGATCCTGCGTTCCGGCGAACGCGATCATGCGGACCAGTTGTATAGGTAAACACTTAAGCTACATAAACATTTATTAATTTATTATGATAATTATAAAATTATAATTGTGATCATAGATTGCTGTCATGCAGTAATTTTCATCAAGATTTCGTCGTGCCACAACACGTCGATGCGATCATCACCGAATGCCGTCGCTTGAAGGACAAAAAGTTGTTGCAACAGGATGCCTTTGGCTTTGTGCAACCAGCGCGACATGTGGACAATCGCACTACTTTGAATAATTCAATTGTAGATGAATCCCTGGAGAGTAGACCCAGTGTCCTGCTCTGGGGCATTGACTCCATGTCGCGCATGAACTTCCAGCGAACCATGCCGCTGATGTACAAGTATCTGAGGAAGGAGAACTGGTACGAGCTGCAGGGCTACAACAAGGTGTGTGTTTTCATAATTTATTCGGCAATTTACCATTATCAAGTGTCTTACCCAGATGGGAGATAATACATTTCCCAATTTAATGGCAGTGCTGACAGGATTTAATAGCACCAGATCCGTGTCAGTCTGCCAGCCCAAACAAGTGGGTGGCTTGGATGCTTGTCCAATGCTCTGGAAAAAATACAAGAAAAAGGGCTACATAACTGCTTATGCGGAGGACTGGAGCCGTTATTCTACGTTTAATTTTTTATTTAAGGGTTTTCAAAACCCTCCAACGGATTATTATGCGCGTCCACTAATGCTGGCCGTTGAGAAGGAGCTGCCGAAGGTGATCGACATGGCCATACCCTACTGTGTGGGACGAAGGCATTTAGCGGAGTATATTTATGATTCTGCACTACAGTTTACGGAATTCTATAAAAATCAGTCCACTTTTGGCATGTTCTGGGCAAATTCCTTTAGCCACAACAACTTTGCCTTACCCTCTTCCATGGATGCCAAGATCCTTGAATATATGCACACATTGCAGAAAAATGGAATCTTTGAAAAGTCCATAATTCTATTCTTTAGTGATCATGGCATGCGATTCGGTCCACTGCGCAGCCTGGATAGTGGATTCTTGGAGGAGCGCATGCCCATTATGTATATTTGGCTACCCAATTGGTTTAGGCAAAAGTATCCAGAGTTTGTAGATAATTTAATGGTTAATCGGAATCGCCTAACTTCACCGTACGACATCCACGCAACGTTGATGCACATTCTGGAGTTGGAGACATCGTTGGCTAACTTACCAAGGCCTGAAGGTTGTCCCAGCTGTCATAGTATTTTTTTCGAGGTGGCCGAATCAAGAGATTGCGGCGATGCGGGCATCAATGAACACTGGTGCACTTGCCTGGAATTAGCAGAGGTGCCACAGACCGATCCGAAGGCAAAACTCTTAGCAGATCAGCTGGTCGAGGCCACAAACAATTACTTGGCAGCTAACAATCTGACAGGAACGTGTGCGATCCTGAAATTAACTAAAGTTAAGTCTGTGAAAGCGCGAATTTCATCGCGCTCAAACCAAGTCGATTCCTACTTGGTCAGATACGAGACGGCACCAGCCGCGGCATTGTTTGAGGCAACGGTCAAGTGGAGCAACACGACGCAGCGCATCTCCATTTCTGTGCCCAGCATTAGTCGAATGACGGCATACAAGGAGTACTCCCAGTGTGTAGAGGATGCTACTCTCAAGAAGTTCTGCATCTGCATGCAATCAGCTATTAAATGAATCAACCCCGGCCATCCAAGCTGGTGGACTGCCGTTTAACCACAGCCAAAGATGCATCTGCATTCCTTAGTATGTTCGCTGTCTGTGCCTGTATCTGTATCTGTATCTCGAGAGTATTGTTGCCAATGGCTATCGGCAGTTCCGATCTCACCCTGTGAGTTTGCAAACACACTCCGCAACTAATTTGGGTTGGACACAAATTGGTTGACAATTATATGACAATTGCAGAAGATAATTGCAGCAATATGAACGATAGGAAGACAGCTGTTTAGTCCATTGCAATATTTCAGTTTTTCTTTCTTAATTATTTCTGCATTTGATTTGCGCAACGGATCACAATAACTTTCTAAATGAATAAGAACAAATAAAATAATATAGTGCATATCTTATCACATAGTCAATAATACATATTCTAGGAAAAGTGAACGCGTCTCAGTCAATGAGTTCAAGAACCTGTCAAAGATAAGTTTTCTTTGATTATCAACACAAACAAAGGTTGTTTCTAGTAGTAAATGTTTAATCATCTTTTTTTTTTTTATATGAATAATCTTTCTATATAGCTTGGGATAAGTTGAATGTAACATTTTTAATTTACTATATGTGCACTTTATTTCCTTGAATTTGTTCAAACTATTTTAATGTCACCTCTATAATTTAATGTCTAGCTTATTTGAGTATTTACTATACAGAATAAGTTGGATAGGCATTAAAACTTGCTTAATATCTATATTAAATATTTTACCTTAATTCCACAAAGGATTTAAATCTTTGTGCTGCAAAAGAGTACCCACTTCTTGCCAAGCATATGCCAGCAAATTAATATTGTAATTGATACCATTTATTTAGTCTGATGAAAACAAAATTACGAATCAATCAAAACATATTAAAATTTGAGGCTCAACTCGTATTCCCATTGAAAATGGCGCAGCAGATGAGCACATTTGGACAAGGGGTGGCCGGTGGCACCACCCCAAAAACCACTAACGATAACCACAACAAACAACGTGTAAACAATAAACAGAAGCAGTTGATGATGCAGATACGAATACAGCTACAGCTACAGATACACTCCATTCAAATCGCTCAAGTATCTGTATCCGCATTTGTATCTGTATCTTTGACCGGTTCCGTGTGTCAACTTCAATTACTTTCGCTGCCTAATCGCAGGCTGATAAGGGTAATAATAAACGGCAGCCTACCTGATGTGCTCGCCCGTCTCTGGCCAGAGCCGGGCAACGCCTATTAAACGCCTCGCTGCGCCCAAATGAGATTCGAATGCCGAATGAGATGGGAAACCGCTGCCAGACAGGGATGGCCATACGGTGCTGCTCTTGGTTGCGGTCGGTTGTGGTGCCATTGTGGTGCACAAAATGGCGGCTGTGCCTGTTCAGAGAGCAGCCTTAAATAGCCAAGGATGCGCAGAGCGCTGAAACAGTAGCTATTTGGCACTGAGACGCGCAAGGATCGTCCAGGATGAGTGATTTTAGCATCGACTACATACTGAACCGCGCCGGCGATAGATATGTCGGCACCAATGCCTCCGTGGGCATAATGCAGCGACTTGGAGTCAGCCTGTATCATCCATACGCTTCGCCTGCACGGAGCAAGGAGCAGTTGCCGTCCGCAGCATCAGTTTCCATGTTGGATGGACCGATGCCCATGTACGACTGGTTGCAATATACGCGTTACCATCCGCCCAAGCTGCCGCGAGCACTGCGTCAGGGACCCGCGAAGCGCACACCGGGACGCCTGCCACGCATTCCGTTTACACCCGCCCAGCTGCAGGCATTGGAGTGTGCCTACAAGGAGTCCAACTATTTAAGTGCCGAGGATGCAAACAAGTTGGCCGAATCGCTGGAGCTGACGAATACGCGCGTCAAGATCTGGTTCCAGAATCGTCGTGCCCGCGAAAGACGTGAGAAACGGGAGAAGGACGAGAGCTGCGACTCCACCTTCTCATCAAATGCATCCAGTCCAGAGCCGGACACGGAGTCGGATATATTGGTCATTGTCTGAAAAGCAATTGGAGCCTAAACGCGGCGTGGTTAGAAAGAAAGCTCAAATTTTGGCTGTTGGTGTGTAAATTGTGATTGTTTGTAAATTGGATTGAAAGACTTTTTGTAAATATTATTTCTTTATAAGCACATGTAAGTTTAGACTTATGATACGAAGACAATACATAAATTATTAGAAATATTAAATTTTATAAATAAAACCAACTTTGAAATGAAACACTTGAACATAAATTCGTTTGATTATTTGACTCATTTTATATGAGCGATCATTATGGCTCTATAAGATCTGGTATATGCCTAAAAATTAGATATCAAAATTTTGAATAACTATGGAGCCTTTAGAATTTAGGATTTATAGTACTAAAGTTCTTTCGATTTTTTAATTTTAGCTAGTAACTCTGGAGCTGTAAGGAACTTCGCTTAGTTAAAGCGAAAATCAGCTGCAAAATATATTTTTTAAATTCTTATAAGCCTTTTATGTTTTATTCATATATACTTTTTATTACAAATTTCAATTCATTGTGCTTGTGTTATTGGATTAAAGGCAAGCATACATTCTACAATAAATTCATCTTTTAAAGAAAGTAATTTATTTAGTTTTAAAAATTGTATTCTATATTGAAACTTTAACATTATTATAAGTAAATAAAATTGTTTCCTCAGCAGTACATGAAAATCGATAAATAATTGATAATTTGTATTAAAAAGAAAGAAGAAATTTAAAATTAATTAAAATCTTTACTTCATTTTGAAAAAAAAAAGGAACAACATTTTATCAAGTAAGTCCTCGATTTTGGTCAATATGGTATATAAATGGATAAAATGAAATCTGTTGTAGAAAACGGAACACGGAATTAACATAATCGAAATATATATAAAACAACAAGTTATGTAATGTGATCTAGATGAGTAACGTTTTTGTGGAAACTGCAATCTGGACTTGTTTTATTCTATTCCCACACATGCTCTTCATATACCTTGCCGCCAAGGGTATCATGAGAGTGCGTGAACCATGTGCAAACACTGTGTGTTAAAATTATGCTGCCTGGGAAATTTTCTTTTAACAAATCATCAATGAAAGCGAAGCGATTCGCGTGCCGGAAAAACAGCAAACAGCAAACAGCACTGAAGAGTGAGGCGGGGCATATGCTAAGCCGATTCCGCAATTGTTGCTGTTTTCATGGTCAAGAATAATTTGTTTTTCCGCTTTCCATTGTTTGCATACAACAAAAATATCAAATTACCAAGCGGCGACCCACAGCAAAAAGTGCCGACATGCGGGGAGCGCCCTGTTTAAGGATACTCTTGCGAACACGAAAGATGATTATGATTTTGCCATCTCGGCAAACTGGAAGGCAAATGAGTTTACGCAAATCCTAGTGGTGTCTATCTACCTAAGCCCAGCCTAATCCGATCATATAAGTATCTAAAAACTGGACCAAGGTGGGCAAGAGGAGACCTGGAGCGCATGCGCCATTTATCTATATTAAACGAACATCGGCGATATGAAACGAAAGGAAATGGTCGTTGAAGGGTTCTAAATTGATGAAGACTATGTTTGAGATGGCACATATATTAAATGATACTTCTACTCGGAGCTCAAATGCATTCCAGCTGATACAGGACAGTCAGTTGTCAAAGGGAGTGCATAAAATGTATCAAAAACTTTAAATCATATAGCCAGAAACCTTCTTGAACAATTTAAGCCACACTCATTAGTTGAAGATAATTCGTGCAAATTTGCAAAATCGGCTTATGATTTGCATTCAATGAACGAATGTTTATGTTACTAATCTAGTCCTGTTTGACAAACAATGCGGCAATATTTATTCTAATGGCGTAGAATAACACAGCCATGCGCCGCATTGGGCTGTAAATGTCCTCCCAGGTCCTATTCTTAGAGCCAAAGACTATGCGCAGGCAAAAGCAGTGCAGGCGCACGCACATAATACCGAAGTGGGTCAAGTCGGGCACAGCAGACTAGACATGCTGGGATTAACGTAATTCCTATTTTACGTAGATTGAGGTAAGCGCACTATGTGGCTTAGTGTGGCGTCAGTTAGACTGGCCCTTTGCCAAGGCTGCTTGCTTGCCATTTGACATAAATAGCTACACATTTCTCATACATATTTCAGTTGTATATGTAAACTCTAAAGTATTTGCATTTCTTATCATTTAAATATGTATATACAAATTTAAAAATATTTTGCAGTTCAAATTAAGCAAAGGCCCGCCATTACTTATCTAAAACGTCTGGCAGCACTTTTCAAATTCGCCGAGTTGCATTACATATTTTAGCGCCCTCTAGCGACAACAGTTGTCTATTACAAATAAGACATATCGCCAGCAACCCTAATTTCTTTCTTTTCGATAGATCCGCATAAAAGTGACAAGGTGAGCAAAAGTTTTTGCTAAAATTATGAATATTTAAAGGGTTTTAATAACGTAAAGGTGCGAAATGTATTGTACGAAGTGTGCAAAATGTGTTGTGCATAAAATTTCTAACTTGGCGTTGCGCTAGGTTGTGAAAATATCAGTGCGAAATGCTACACGTGTTTTCCCACTTCGGCATAGGCGTAGGCTCTGGATGTCAATTTAATTTCGTTTTATTCGATTTTTAGAGCACATCAATATGCAGCTTTTCGTACGTGGCTTGGAAACAATTGAGGCTTTGGAGGTGTCCCAGGATGCCACCATTGCTGGTGTTAAGGTGAGTGATTGTGGAAGTCACGACAACAAAAACTTCCCCCTAACCTCATTTCTGTTGTTTCTCGCATCATAGAATCAAATCGCCCAGCTGCATGGCTTCGATTCCGAAGAATTCAGCCTGAACTGCGAGGGTGCCACTCTGACCAATGACACGCCCGTGACTGCTCTGAGCTCTTTCGAGCTGGATATTACCATTCCCATGATTGGTGGTAAGGTGCACGGTTCTTTGGCGCGTGCCGGTAAGGTCAAGGGCCAGACCCCTAAGGTTGAGAAGCAGGAGAAGAAGAAGAAGAAGACCGGTCGCGCCAAGCGTAGGATCCAGTACAATCGCCGCTTTGTCAACATTGTGCAAGGCTTCGGCCGTCGTCGTGGCCCCAACGCCAACTCGACGTAAGGTGGATAAGTTTGCAAAAGGAATGATGAACAGAAGCTGAGCTATTTTTTATTGCAAAATAATGTTCATATAGTAATTTTCAACAATTAAACACAACTTATTTTACGCACGTCAAGTTGTAATCCGACGCGTCTCGTGTGTTTGTGTCAATTGGCAAAAGCAATGCTCTGACCCTTGTTCAGAACTAAGAAGCGATAATACCAGAACTCAATGCAGCTCACTAGCAACGCCGCAATGATGCCAAAGAGGAGAACCATAAAACAGCCCTGCATATCATCCATGTTCACTTTATGATTGGCGATTTGCCTTTGCATATGCTTCCCATTGCACTTGTCCATCGAGGGCAGATTCGTATCATGCCAGCGATCGATGAAACCCATGCGAAACAACCGATCTATGTGCTGGTTAATCAAGTGCAAATAGGCACTGCTCGAGGGCACAATCAATCCAATCTGCTCACTTACAAAGTCTTCCTTGCCCAATGCAAATCTGCACTCCTTATCCTGCTCAAAGTGCTGCTGCACAATAAGCTGCAGATTAATTCGCCAGTCAATGTTGATACGTTCGCCTTGTTTTACTGCTGCAATATTCTCGCTTTGTGAACTATTATAAACTAAAGCGCGCTCCATGAAACGCTTGAAATCGTGACGTGTCGTGGAATGCACATACTTCTCAAAGAATGTGCCATTACGCAGGCCATATTGTTTGATTTCCTTGTGATCAAATAATTGATTAAGGTAATCGATGCCCGGCTGAAACTTTGGGAATGTGAGAAAAGCAACCAGATTTCCGCAATAGGTGGTAACCAGCACAATGACAACGAGCCACCAGAAACCGACCACCAATCTGCCACTATCCGCACGAGGCAGATACATACCACCTGCAAGAGTTGAATTTTTAAGCAGACTGCAGTTGCATGTGCCTGATCCGCCTACCTTGTTGCAGCAGTGCTCCGTAAATGTACCAGAAACAGTTTTTGACTGTCGACAGGCCGCGAATTTGCAGCTCCTGCAGCGGCACCAGCCGATTAACAATGTACAGCATGGGCGCCGTCACCAATAAAATGCCCGCCAAACAGCCCCAGGTCTCTAGGGTGAACGGAGCTGTAAACAGATAGATGCGACTCACCTCATCCGGCTGGCGCAAAATGAATGTGTACTTCTGTATGCTTATGGGCTGCGTGTAGTTAAAGCGCTTCTTGTGCGGCTCATCAATGGTAGCGGCCACGGCTGCCATGAAGTACCCACTGCCCTGCACCAACTCAACCACACGATACGGTATGCGATAGGTCATTGAGCCCATCAGCTCATCCTGCAGGCCAATGCAGTAATATAAATATTCTCAGGTATTTTCTACTCTAATCCTTACGCTCTCATTCGTGCTCTGCGCAAGCGAGTACTCGTAGTCCGGCGAACGGGCCTCGTGCAGGTAGTAGCTAAAGTTCAAAGCGCGACTTAGTTCCTTCAGTATTTCCATGACAATGCCAGTGTGCTCCACGATGGCACCGCGGCTGTCTTTAGTCAATATTTGCCAGGGCGGATTCTGCGAGAAATTTGAACCAATATATAAGAATTACATACATATATTCCTGGTTCAATGACTCACATGCACCGTGACAATATCCATGGTGATGTTGCGAAAATGCTGATCTATGTGTGGAAAGGCTAGTTCGTGGCATACAAAGCCCAGAAGTGGGCTCCAATATCCTATGTTGATGAACTCAAAGTTGCGGTTTTTCGTATCGCGTGTGGGTGCTGCGGACAGACAGTTGGGTTAGTATTAATCCTATAGATTTTTTTTTGCGAATTTACCCATGCGAAATTTACGATTCTCTTGACTCTTGCCCCAGGTGATGGCTGTTTCGAAGCGCCATTTGGCGCAGCTGGCGCATTTGCTGTTAGCCTTCAGATATTCCTGGCAAAAGGCGAAGCACACATGAGTTCCTATGTGTGTATAGACTTACTTTAGCTGGGCTTACCTTCATATATTGCAACATCTCGTCTTGTTTTTCATGCTTGGTAAAGCGTATTGATTCCCATTCCTCATCGGATATTTCTCCATAGATCGATTGCTCCTCGAGGATCATGCGTGACAGCGAGGTGACAACGGCCATTGATACCTCCGATATGGTACAGTTTAGTGTATCTACGCAATCGGACACGGTCTCGTTGAGTGCAAATGCTATGTTGGCGCCCTCGTCCAGATTTATGGTCACAGTGCTGGCATCAAAGTCAGCATGCAGTTGCTCCGACACAAAGAACATCCATTGATTGTTCACATGAAACATGCTCAATGTCTCGGCGATCTCAATGATATCCTCATGGAACTTGGAAATGACCAAAAACTGTTGGCGCTTCAGTTCGTGTTTGGTGGGCGCAAATTGTGCCAATGCTTGGCGCAGAGCAACACGCTTTTGCTGGCCACGCAGCGTTTCGTCAATCTTGTAGAGAATCACCGATAACGGCGGTATATGATTTATGGTGCTCTCGTGCAAAATGGACTTGACCAACATCGGATTCTCCTCGACTGGGGCAGGGCACAGGAAAATACATCCATATGTTAGCTAAACTGGCTAAACTTTGAGAATACTCACGTATGCTTTGATCCACGAACACAGCCACCGACTTCCATTTGAAAATGCCCTGCACCTTGGCATCGAGTAAAATTTGAGAAAACTCATCGCCCTGCGCCACCATGGGTATCTTGAAAACATATAGAACATTGATGGAAATTCACGTAAATTCTGTTCAAAAAATGACTCACCATCAGCGCACGATTAAGCGGCAGACGCGGACAATCCGAGTCCGTGATGGCAATTAGGAGTATCGATGTTATTTGTGTGTTTTTATAAAAGTTCCAGGTACTCTCACAGTCCATAATCGTTATGGCAGCCAGAAAATCTATGCGAGACTAAATTGAAGCACAAATATTCTGAAAAAGTTTCTAATTTACCTTTCTTTAATTTAACGGCATTCCAGGTGAAGTAGCGCACATTGATGCCGCCATTCTTCATATTCTCGCGTATGATATCACTGAGAATCTTCTCAAAATGTGCCAAAATGTTCTGTCGATGCATAGCCATATATTCGTAATCCACAACCACAGCTGGAAGAATCAAACTGCCGAGTCGCACAAACATATTTGGATGTGTCCATACTCACCCAGGGAGGCATTGGCGCTCAGAAAAGAGGAGAAGTCATTGGCACCGACTGGAGCCGGCACGTAGAGCAGCAGGCCACAAAACACGCTGAAGACCAAGGCCGGAGGCCTCATGATGCCGGGACCGCTGAAAGCTAACTGAGAAGTGAAAGCCAACAATACGATTGAAGGGGCCTTTGATTTATGTTTGAGGATAAAATATAAAAAGCCATGAAGCCAATTAAAATCGAGCAATTGGAGCGCACTGAGGCGTGTTGCTAAAGCACATCAAATATTTAAAAGCTGGGCAAAGTCGGCGGCAAAGGATTTTCCTGCGGTCGCCGGCTGATTGACAGTTTGCGGTTAGGCGTCGACATCCACATCAAATGTCGGGCACGTCAGCAAATTGTTGCAGGTGTCCGATAAGGGTTTTTTGGACCATGAAACTATTGTGTTTGCGGTGTTAACTTCGTTTATTTAATTATATTTATGAAATTGTTCATCAATATTGCGTGTTAGGTAATTACATTTTACAATCTTACAGCTAGGGAAGTAGGGAAACTGAAGGAACGAACGGTTTTAACTAAGAGTTACAATTCACTTAGTTTAGGTTTTCGCTTTTGCTTTTTATTGGCTATTTGCTAACTTATTTCTATGAGCATATTTGGGTTTTTATTAAGTAGTATATATTATATATTCAAATGGTATTATAGATATATTGGCCAAGTATTGCGCTTGGTGTACTTATGTATATATATATGTGTATATGCATCTATGTAATGTGTTGTAAATGTATGTATGTATAATTTAGCTACACTTATCACTATTATACAATTCCAAAAATGCTTCAAATATAAATGCATACGATTTCGATTGTTATCCGTACTTGTTGTATTGTATTTATAATATTAGTATTACGAAAGAGGGTCTATCATATAAACTGTGCGTATATACTTTTGTTCTCGTTCAATAGTTTATGTATATAAATGTTTTGTCCATTGCTAATTTTCAAAAGATTATCATTTGTGGCGCCTTTATTTCTATATTCCTGTCTCTAACTTTATAAATTTTCCCTTCTTCAAGTGCGCTGCCTAACGAGTATGCCAGAATGGAATTTTTTGTAGCTATACTACAGATTGGGATTTATGCGCTGCAATAATGTGTGCTTGCATTTTTGGTTCCTGGTCCAAATCGTCGACCGACCGACTTTTAAACCCATTCGTCGTGGGTTTACAACTTTTCTCATTCGTTCAGAATTGCGCTGAGACGTTCCTCGACGGCGACTTTGCGTGACTTCCACACAAACTCGCATACGGCTATGACACAGGCCACGCCCATGCCGCCCATTAGGACCACAAAGACGCCACCCACATTGGCCAGTCCCAGCTCATTGGCCGCCGACGATGACTTAGAGGTTTCCACGCGACACTTGCCACCACCGCGTTTCTCCTTCCACCATTTGGTTTTCAGTATATGCAATTTGCCCTCCTCCTGCAGCTTGAGTATGACGCTATTGATGGCAGTGCGATAAGGCGAATCTGTGTGAGGCATAAGCAAACCATGAGATATACACTAAGGGGCTGCACTTCGATGTAACTCACTTGGCGGGGTCGCTATGCCATAGCTTTTGGTATCCAGCATGCCGCCCACTTGGGTTAGCTCACAGTTGCGCTCAGTGACATACTCGATGGATGTGGATTCCATTAGAAATGCATAAGAACCTTTGCCCTTGGCCACGCGCTCCACGCCTTCGCCATTGCTGGCCGTAAAGACCGAGGGGCGTGCCGATTCCATAAAGGACCACATGCGCTGATATGTAGAGATCTTCGAGTCCTGCAAAGGGCAATTATTAGTTTGGTTCTGCTCCTGCTGTCTAAGTGAATGGCTTACCCTAAAGAAAGCTGCCGTGCTGCCACCTTTGAGAGCGCCATATTTAATGCGCGTCTGCTTGGCCAAGTCCTCGGCACTCTCAATAGGTGAGTCCATGCGTTCAACAGTCAGAAATGCAGCCAAATTGGCTGTGTACGAGGAGATCATGATCAGCGTGAAAAACCACCAAATGCCAGCTACCATGCGAGTCGACAGAGCCCTAAAAACAATCCAAAACACGGTTAAGCCAAGCATATAAAATAAACGGTATCCATCCTACTTGGGCAGAAAATCGCAACCCTGCTGCATAAGGGAACCAATGGCAAACCACATGCAGTTGAGCAATGTGAACTGACTCTCGACCTTCTCGCCATGGGCATCGGTGTAGGCGGGCCACTCGTAGGGCGTAAATCTATTTGGGCAATAAAGATAGTCAATAAAAAGGCATTTTGGTTATCAACAAGTTAACCCACTTAGCTAATATGAAGAGCAATACGGAGACGCCCAAATAGGCTGTGGCCATGTAGATCCAAACGTCCAGAGATAATGGCGACAGAAAGGAGAACAAATTGGGTGGCTGTTTAATGGGCTTGCGATAGAGTATAGAAACGCCAAGGTTCATAAACGGCGTGGTAAAGTCCACAGCTTGTTCGCGCTCAAAGGTGATTGTGAGATCGGCTATTGCCAGATCGGCGCGCTGTTCTAAGAGCTCACGTATCATCCCATTCCATTCGCTGTAAAATAAATAGAGCTAAGCATAAAGTCATATGCTGCATACAAAGCAACTTACCCGCTCATTTTATTTAAGCTACCATAGCTGCCATCGGGCACCAGCTGAATTTTATAATTAAAGCCCAGCGATCTGGATATTTCGTGAATCAGATCCACGGCATAGCCCTCAAACTGATCGTTTCCTGTCAGAGGTACCGCCGATTCCTTGCGCATGCAGTAAGGATTGCTCTGCGAAAGAGTAGAAGCAGTTACTGACTACGAAAAGCAGTTGATCCTTTCTCTGTGCATACATACCAGTATGGTAGTCACTACCAAGGTCTTGTTCTTCAGGTTTGCCTCAATCTCTTGCTGTTTCTGACTAAAGGTGCGCGTAAAGTTGATGCCCTCGGACAGCGTGGAGTTCCAGGTGCCTATTTTGCGTATGCCGCTCGGCGTAAGCTCTACGATGTCTAGCATGAAATCTGTGCGAAAGCCCTGATGATCGAACTTGATGACATTGGTCAGGCCCTTCATCTCCACAATTTTCATGTAGTTGATTAAACTGAAGCCATGCTGCCAGGTGCTCTGGCCATCGCAACTTATCGGATGTATATCGATTTGCTGTGAGGTGTCCAGATCATGCAGCGCCTTGGCAAACAGATGCACTGCATCATACATGAGCGCCGTCTCCGAGCGCACAGTGGTCAGATTGGCCGAACGGAGCATGCCCTTCTCATCGATGTTCCACTGACGCACCACATCCGATACGACCTTCTCGTTGATCAAACGAAAGCCAGTAATATTTGTGCCGCCGTAACGAAACTCATCCAGGTCCACGGTGTGCAGATCCAGCGAGGTGACCAAATAGCTGTGATAGTCGCTCATCATGCCGATCTGTTGAGCTTGCTTGAGCACCTCGTGAATGCGCTCCGTGGAACAGTCCAGCACAATATGCGCCTCCGCCGAGTTCTTAATCTGTTTCAGCAGGGGTCTACATGATGGGATTGATATAGATCAAGAATAAAGAGGCTTATTTGCTTAAAGATGAACCCACCGATAGTCTCCGCTGTCGCTAAGCTGGCGCACTGTGATTGGAAATGGTGTCATCCCATGCGCTTTGAGCAGTTCCTGCAGCCGCACAATGCCATCGTTATTCTCATAGATTATGGTGAAAGTCTTCCAGCCCCAGTGGCGCACAATATCCACATAAGCCTGAGCTCAAATACAAATATCAGCAGCTAAAGTACAGTTGGCAGCAAAACACAAGCACACACATGCACATTACCTTGGAGAGCGTATTTGGATGGGGATAAAGATTCACCAGGCAGCTTTCGCGTCTCAGGCGGTAATCCCAGCGATTCTCCAAATGCGGTATCTAAATAATTGTGTGCAACAGCCGACATAGATTAAGACGATTTGGTAGCCATCAGCCCACCCAAATGCCCCACATAAACAAAAGGACTCACTTCCATGTTGTCGCATATGCTCTGCACATGGCTGGCCGTGTGCGAGGATTGTGGCCCAAAAATTGCAGCTACGCCAATGTTCAACAAGCCGCAAACTGAAAAGGATATGACGAGAGAGTAATGTATAAGGCGGATGCTCAGCTATTGGCCAACATTTGCACTGACTGCCAAAGTCTTGAGGAAATTGCTGCAAAATGTTGTGCAAATATATGTCTGCCATAAACATAAATCCCAGGCGAGCAACCTCTGAGTCTCAAATTGATTTTCATGTAATACGCTTACTGCTGCTCCCAATCCGAGTCCCAATGCACCTTATGCCAGTGCGCCAGCAAGATTATCTCGCATGGAATCCCACGATTTGTGGCAGCGTAAAATGAGTCCAAGTAGCGCATATACTTGCCGGCAGATACAGTAAAGCTCGTTTCGCCTAGTTCGCATATTTAAAATGCACTTCAAATTGACATAATTCCATTTTGCCTTTTGGCTTTGGCTTTTACCATAGCATCCTTTGGCTCATCAAATTACCGAGCACGTGTGGGTGCAGGTGTAGTTGTGCACTACACATACACAAACATAGGTATGGAGGCCAACATATCGTTTGCTTGTGTGTGTCTGTGTGTGTCTGTGGTAAATAAGGTAGTCGTGTGAATGTGTGTCCTTTCCAGCTTGTTACCGTCGTGCTAAAATGTGTTCTACCGTGCCGCAAGGTAACTATGGTTATGAGAGTTGGTCATAAGGCCCAAAGTATCCTTTTACGAGCTTGTGTCCCTCATTCATCAGAATCACACTATTTTCAGCTCTGTTCATTGTTTTTAATTAAAATGTATTTAAACGGTTTAGTTTTGCCAAGTTATAATTTGAAGAAATAATTATTTGATAGTATTATCATGTGCTATTAAAGCAGACAATATTATTTATCTTTCAGTTTCAATTATTCTCATTTAAGACTGGGATTGCTTTAGAATTTAAAACCCACACTATATTTAGATTATTATACATACATCCCCAAATGCTTAAATGCCAGCACTCTGTTGAGCACATTTCTAACTCGAATTAAATTCTTAGAAGTAGAGTGCGTAGCTTAGTTTCTGCAATTTGTATTCATGCATTAATTTACACACTTCAGCGTGTAGTTCACATAATACAAATGCTGCTCATCAATAAGATTAGAACACATGAGCTAAAATTGAAAACAATCGCCACACAATGAGGGGATTGAAAATGTACTTCAACTGCATTAATTTAGCTGTCTGATATATGAATATATATATATGGACATGAAGTGAATTCCCAATAGTCAACTCGATTTGCATAACAATAATGCAAAAACTAATGGAATCTAATGGAGACTACACAAAAATAAAGTGCAATGTTTTCAATGGGACCAAACGGAACAAAACGGATGAATGAAAACAATAACAGATACATTTGTGGGGGTCAGGTGTAGCGATGCCCCCTACTGCTTACCCCGTTTGCCGGCATGGAAGCTGTCAAATGGCGAAATGCGCTCAATTTGGGCCACAAGTTTTGAGCGGGGTAAAATTGAGCGGTCGGAATTTATCCGCTCGACAGCTTGGCGAAAGGCGAGTTCCTGATGGTCGTCCGAGGGATGAAACAGCCCACCTGCGGCGATAAACGATGAAAAACAATGTTATTAATAAGCAAGTACAAACGTGTCTCATAAAAAAAAAAAACGGCCAAAGGAAAACAAACAAAGCACAAACACAGTGACACACATCTGTAAGGACATGAGGACGAGGATACACACACACACACACACACGCGCGCTTTTGATGTAAAAAAATCGATACGCGCTAAAGATGCCATTTTAATCAACCAATGAATAATGAGAAATGAGACGGTAGTTTTATTAATTGATTGATATTTCATAAATCAAAACTAACCAATTTTTATAACGTCGGGCAATGCCAAAACCGAATGCCAGTTAAATGCATTTTGATGCATCAAAAGTAACAGCAATAAGAGCATTCCATTATTGCCGACACTTGGCTGCATTTTAGCTGTGTTTACTTTTCGAACAGCTCTCTGTTTATTTATTTGATCTTTAACTTTTGCAATCTATCAATCGTTACAAGATTGTTTTCTAAACGCGCGCTGACATTTTATAAGTTGTTTATTTTTTCACTTTATCTGTGTTATATGCGCTGTGTCGACTTTCGAGATGAAACACCTACTGAGCACGAGATCCTGATGTGCGCTCTTTTAAATCTGACACGGCATCGTCCTGTTGCAGGCTCCCCGAGGTTTGAGGGTGGGTGGCATCCAAAAGCCGGGTGACAGTTCAAACAGCTGCGCAGTCAATGTGGATGCTGTGGCAAATTATGATGCCGGTTCATTGAGTCCCATTGGAGTGTCGGTTAATGCAAGATTTTCCTACGATTTTAAAATCTGTCATTCTGCAATAAACAAAAAATCAATTGCCCTTTGCATTATAAATATAATCGTAGAATTTCAAATTATATATATTTAAATTTTACATAACCGCGTTCTGTTAATGCGCACAGCTCTGTTAACGCAAAATTGAGATATCTACTATCGCATTGAGGGTAATATGACGCTACGTAGCCACGTGAATGGCAATGCTTCCGTATGTAATGGCGCGCGGTTGATGCAGATGCGTTGTGGCGGCATTTGTACGTTGGAATTGATTAGAACTGTGTTTGATTTAAACAACTCTGTAACTTGAGCCGTCTCAGATACGAAAATGCGTCGTACCGCCAAGCCAAAGGCAGCGCCGGCCAAGAAAGCCAAGGGCAAGTTGTATGCTATGCCGGAGAAGCTTAAAGAGGGTACCGTTCTCACAGATCTGGCCAAGGGACAGTGGCGCATTGGCCCCTCGATTGGAATTGGCGGCTTCGGTGAAATCTATGCAGCGTGTCGCAACGGCGAAAAGAACTACGATGCAGTGGTCAAATGCGTAAGTAGCTGAAGCTCCAGAATGTGTGAAACTGTTTGCCCTCATCAATGGCTTTTCATATTCCAGGAGCCACATGCCAATGGGCCGCTGTTCGTCGAGATGCACTTCTATTTGCGGAATGCAAAACAAGACGACATCAAGAATTTCAAGCAGCAGCACGGCCTTAAATCTCTGGGTATGCCCTACATACTAGCCAACGGTTCTGCGGACATAAATGGTCAGAAGCATCGGTTCATAGTTATGCCGCGCTACGGCAGCGACATATCAAAGTTCTATGCGCAGAACGGTAAGCGCTTGCCCGAGGCTACCGTCTACCGACTAGCCATTCAAATGCTGGATGTGTATGAATTTATGCACGGCACCGGCTATGTTCATGCAGATCTCAAGGCGGCCAACATTTTGCTTGGTCTGGGTAAGGGCGGTGGTAGTCAGGCCTATTTGGTGGACTTTGGTCTAGCTTCCCACTATGTGACAGGGGATTTTAAACCGGATCCAAAGAAAATGCATAATGGCACGATTGAGTACACATCGCGGGATGCACATTTGGGCGTAGCCACTCGGCGGGCCGATCTTGAAATACTCGGCTACAATATTATTGAATGGTTAGGCGTGGAACTACCCTGGATTAGGGAAAAACTGCTGACAGTGCCGCTAAAAGTTCAGAAGGCCAAGGAGGCATTTATGGCGGACGTAAACGCCGCACTAAAGCCCCTCTTTCCCAAAGGGGTGCCGGCGCCCATCTCTGACTATATGAAATACGTATCTAAACTAGCGCACAACGAAGCACCCAACTATGACAAGTGCCGCATGTTTTTCCTTAATGCTCTCAAGCAAATGAAAGTGGTCAACAGTGGGGACTTGGACTTTAAACTGACGTCGCAGAGCAGCAGCATTAACAACAATAGTCCGCCAGCCAAAAAGGCAGAAACAGCGGCTGCATTGGGACAGCGGGGCAAGGTTAAAAAAGAAGAATCTCTGCTTATAAATTCCTCTTCAGAGGATGAAATCATTTCCAGCGATGAGGAAAAGGATGCAAAATACACGCCCCGTAGAAAGTTGGCGGCAGCTAAAGCATCGCCAGCTTCTAAATCCAAACCTACAAGAACCACGCCAACGCGCAAAGCAGCGCACAAGCCAGTTTCAGCTTCGCCCAAGAAGCGCGAAGCACCACAAGCCTCCTCGCCACTGCGCTCCAGTCCGCTCAAGCGGGCAAAAGTGGAAAGCAACGCAACGCCGAAAGCACAGGGTGCCAATGCCAAGATCAACTTTAGTCCAGCCATTTCGCTGCGTAGCAGGCCTGGTAAGACGGTGATCAATGATGATTTGACTCCACAGCCGCGCTCCAATAAAACGTACGAGTTCAACTTCGAATTGGATGTCAGTATGGATGCCAATGTTATCGTGAATGTTAAGCGCAAAAGGAAGGCGCAGGCAGGCAACACAACTCCCGCTGGCAGCAACAAGACGCCCTCGTCGCACAGCGCCACGACGCCTAAAGGCAGTTCGCCAGCGACACGCATTAATCTGCGAAAAGTAAATGGCGACGAGGGTACTAGTTCGCCAGCTCTGAGCTCCACGCGGAGTCCACGCACGCCTGCAGTTACTCTGCGCAAGTATAGGCGCTAATTCCATTAAATTTTTTATACATACAACTATATATTTTCATTTAATAAAACGCTGCTGGGTATATGTTTTGAAGCTTCAAACCTGCGTCAGCTTAAATATGTTCTATAAGTATACATGTTGTGTGCATTGGCTTTTATATTAATATTAAAGATAATGATGCATATATATTGAAATTCAAGTGTCCACTATTTAGCTCTGCGTTTACTGCTGCTGCTGCTTTCGTGATGCTTACTCTTGCTGGACTTGGCAGTCGAGCTGCCGCGCCTCGAGGAGGAAGTGCCACTGCTGCTGCTAGTGTGCTTCTCTGGTGCGCTGATCGTGTTTAGTGCAGGCGCCACAGATTTGCTTGATCGCTCCTCCTTATGCGACTTGGAGGATGATGAGGAGGATGACTTGTGTCCATGCTTGCTGCTACTGCTGCTGCTGGCATTTGTGGAGCTGCTCGGTTCTGGTTTGTAAAACGGCGAGGACGAGTTGGAGGATGTAGATGAACGCGACGAGGGCACTGACGATTTGGTCTTGGGCGCCAGCGGCATGGGCTCATCGGGTATGACCACAGTGGGGGTGGCGACCGGCAAGGCCATGCTAGCAGCAGCCCGGCTTGTCGAGGGCTTATTACAACAGGTGTCACACTGCCAAATGTGGACTTGATCGTCGGCGGCCTCCTCATTGGTAATGGGTGGCTTATGGCACTCCTGGTGATAAAGTGCGCCACAATCGGAGCACTCAATGAGTCGATTGGTGGCCTTATACACCATTTCGCCACAAACACAACAGTTCAAGTCACCAAAGTCGCCAGTGTCGCCTGTGTTGACGACACCGCTCATGGCTAATCCAGCGGCGCTGCCATCATCTGAGTCCGCAATGGTGTCGGGCGAATCCGAGGGCACCTTGTCCGGTGAGTTGGTCAGATTAATAATCTCATCGGTGGCCACTGGCTGTGCCGGTGGTTGTGGGGTTGCGCGACCTGGAAAATTGGCCTCGTCATCCATCATGCGCTGGGTCATATTCTTTGATATCATCTTCTCAGGCCCAAAGCGCAATTTAAGCGCCTCATCCAGTAGTAGGCGAAGTTCGGCTGCAGAAGTTGGATTAGATGAATGTAGCAATTTAATTGCCTTTTTCAGCACAGGATCTACTTCTTGAGCAGCAGCGGCTGCTGCGGCAATATTTGCGGCCATTTTTTCAGATAATATTCTTAGTTAAATTTGATGGTAATTATAATAAATGCAAAACACAGTAAAAAGTGTTAGCAAGTATTGTTTTATATCATTTCAGAAAACAGCTGTTATGCTTGCACGTTACTCAACACTGTTTGCATTCTACCCTGGTCTTTCCTATGCTGTTGCTGTTTTTGCTGTTGCTGTTTTTGCTGTTGCTGTTCTTGCATTTGCACCAACCCGTTACGGCTCCGCTGGTGCCGTTATCCGAGTTTGTGTTTAATTAAATTTGCTGCGTTGCATAAATTGCAGCTAGTTGTTTAGAATAAGCAAGCGTTCGTACAATTAATGTGATTCATTGTGTGGGCCCGACTTGTGTTTATCGTTCGTTAGTTCTAGCGCGCTATTCAGATAAGGAAGCGGTCTTTGAAAAATCGAAGCGGCAATAATACTAACCGTGTCTAAATAAACAATACACCAAAGCAGTCAACGAGTATATCTGATAAGCCGTATAACATTCGAACTTGATGCGCAAAAGTGCTAACCACTTGGGCACAACAACAAATTCTTTGTTCTGCAATATTTGCAAAATCGCCGACACATATTTATGGAGGAGTTATGGTTGTTGCAATGAGTAATATACGCAAAACAGGGATTTGTGGCGCCATATCGACGCCGATGCTGGTCATTTTGCTTGCGTTTGCATGCAGTGTAAGCGCTGGGGATGACGCAAATCAGCTGGTGAGTGGTTGCCGGGAGATGGGTTGAGGGTGTGCTGCAAGATTTTATTGGTTTGTTTTTGTTACCGTGTTTGGGCCACTCGCTTACAGCTGTACACATTTCTTACTGCGCACTTGTTGCCATGTTAACAGGTAAAGGAACGATAAGCCATACAATTTGGCTAGCAATATATAGGCGTGTGTCTGTATGTGTTGGTGTTCACATTGGGCTTTGTGTCTTTTATATGTTAGCAATCAATCAGGCAACTTACCAAGCACCAAAACCACCTATCGACAGTTAACAGCACGTTAACAGCCTGATAACAGTGGCGGTTATATTTTAATGTAATTTCGTATGTTTACAGGACTTTTCAACACGCGATTGTACGCTGACGGAACCCGTCTATGGCTATAAGTTTGATTTTAGCGGCTTACATTCGGATTTGGCACATGTGGTGCGAAGCTTTAGCAATGATTCCTTTGAGTTTAACATATGCAGCAATCTGACGCACAGCTGTAACAACGAGAGCAATGTGGCTGCCTGCCTCAAAAAGCAAGGCAAGGAGTATGTGCTGGGTAAGCGTTATATGATCCATTGTAAAATCACTTGGTGCTTCAACATTTCTGTACTTATAGGCCGCCAGCATGAGCTGCACTATCACAATGGTAAAATGTATCTCGACTATTTGAGTGGTGCCAAATGTGAAAATGGAACCAACGACAACGACAACTATCAGCTGCATGTGCTGCTCAGTTGCGACTACACGCTGGATGCCAATCCACTGCATATAACGGCTTATGTAAATTAATATGTCTTTAATCCTACGTGTGAAATGATAAAATATTTTGGTTTTTATTTGCAGGCTGAAGACAGTTGTTCCTTTTACATTACCTATGAGACACCCCTGGCTTGCTTATCTATACCGGATGGGCTTCAGTCCAATACCTGTAGCGTGAGCTACACAAATACTGGAGATACATTCGATTTGATGTCGCTTAGCGATGTCAACTATAGAACCTCAGACCGGCAGGGGGGCTTCTTTATTATCAATGTATGCAAGCCAGTGCTTTATGGCGAGAACGCCATGTGCCCAGCCGGCAGCAGCATTTGCTTGTATTCGCCCAAGGTCAGCGATCTAAAGAAACGGTACGGATTGTTTATTTAAATGCTTTATATATTTATCTATAAGCTATCTTTTTGTTTGCAGTTTCATTAACTTTGGTAATGTACAGTCGAAGCCCGTCATTAAAGACGGCCAGCCTTTGTTGCGTCACGAATCCTCGACGCCGTGTGCAGGCAATTCTAGCGTTAACTATACCAGCATTGTTAATTTCTACTGCGACAGAAGTGTTATGGTACGTTCATGAAGATAATATTATTGGTATGAGCTACAATGTTGTCCTTTTGCAGAATGCACATCCCGAGTTCATGGGTTCTAGTCAAGATGGTTGCACCTACCAGTTCAGCTTTTCCACACCTCTGGCCTGCAAGAATATCAAACCGTGCACGGCCGTGGCCGCGGGCAATGAGCTGTGAGTAAACCTCTTTTCATGTAGCTTACGGAGAATATATCTCGTTCTGTTTTTATTTTGCACAGTCTGGACCTGAGTCCGCTCAGTAGCCTCGCGCCGCACAAATTGACCAAAGATGGTAAAATCTACAATGTGGCCGTATGCGCTAGCGCTGGTACGCCCTGCATGGCGAATGGTGGTAAGTCGGTCATTTGTTGTCTGAATTATTAACGAAGATTTTAAGTGCAGCCACAGCAGCTGTCGACGTTGCACGTATGGCAGCTTCCACCTTGCATGTTGCACGTTACATGCGTGGTAGAGCAGATGTAATTAAATTTTAATAGCCGTATATTTAAGTGCGAGAAAAGTAGGAAATTCTGCTGACTCGCTGCGGGCAACCCTTTAAATAGATTACTTTTCAACTTGCCAACCCAATCCAACAAGTTCTTAAAAATATTACTCAGTATGTTGAATATATTGGAATGAGCCGGTTAAGTTTCGAGCTGACGCTTTAAATTCCTTGCCGTTTTGTACGCATGCACATCTGTCTTTATTTGCGCGTTTTTAAACTCTGGGGATGATGATTCACATTTCTGATGCGGTCATCATAAATACATTTACATAGTTTATGTGCTTACATGTCTGCATGCATATATGTATATAAACGTGGTATAATACTTGTGTACTCAACCCGAGTCCCTGAAATGAAATATTCCATTTTAAAATTAGACCCGTGAGTGTGCAATTATTTTATGATGAACCCACCGAAGCTCTATTGCTCTATTTACACGCATGACATGAGTTAATATGGGGAATTCGTATGGAGCAAATCTTAAAGCGATACTTATTTATATACCATGATCGGAGCATAGAGAAAAATGTGAAAGGACAGCAAAAAACTTTTTAAAGTGTATAAGAATAGGCACGTTTAAATGTCGGTAAAGGTAGCTACGCAATAAAAATATTTCTGGATTAAGCTACTGATATGGCCAGCTTTCCTATTCGGTGCTCATAGATTGTAACACTTGTCTTTGAGTTGGTGGACTCGATTGCCAATATGCTCAAAAAATGAAAGCGCTGTGCTGTTGCAAACAAAAACAGTAAATATAAACCATATGGGCTGTTGCCAGGGCAAACGTGCTTGGGCATATCCATGAAATATACAAAACACTAACACACAAACCCCATCGTACTCACATACGCACACTTACATACAGAGAAATGTGCCTGCATTTCTAGTTGACTGCAGACGCATTTCCGTTGTAGCGTCCTTTTTTGCTTGGCTGGGCTGCCTCGCGGCTCACGTTAAAACATCGGCGGGCAACGAGAGTTGGGCACAAAATCATGGCCACCGCTGGGCCTAAACAAATAAATAAGCCCACTTGCATTTGGCAACTGACATTGCTATCCGGCCCAGACACCGACGCGGCTATGATATGGATAGGGGCGAGGCGCATGCGGTCTAGCATTTTCCGGGGCACTACACGAAAATTTCATTTGTTAAGCAAATAGCAGACACGGTCACGCGAAAAGCGCTGTACGTGGACGACGCATGCATTCTATATGCAGCTCTGATATCTGGCGCCCAGACGACACTGACAGATGCCATATTGCTGCATGTACTTTCTGTTGTTGTTGTTGTTGTTGTTGTATATGCCCTGTGCGGCTTAAGGATAAAAAAGGTGAATCACATTTAATTATAACTATCTTTAAAATTGAATACAGCCTGCAGCAATTAGCGTGTATTCATTTTTATTTATCAAATTATTTTATACAGTTCAAATTATGAAATTTACTTAAGTTCTTGAATACTTTTTGATGGAGCTGGTCTTGTGGCATGGATATTTTAACATATTTTCCAATTGCCTATTATATAGTTTCTATATAAATCTTGCTCATAATTTAATTTAATTAATAGGTATTAGATGTATGGGTATAGTTTTGAATTTAACTTCACTTAACTAGAGTAACGTGCAGGTCGACTAAAATCTGAATTTAGCTAAGAATTCATTGGCATGGGCAAAACAATGGAATCGTTTGTAGTTTCGTACTACTGTTGCATTGGTGTTTTATTGAATTCTACATTTGGAAGCATTTTTGCAGCGCATTTGGTGCACGCTGTCCGACTGCAAGTTATAGCCATGGTTATTACCAACAGGGCCGCTGAGTTAGCGGCAATAAAATGTTGTTAATTGCTTATGCCGCGCACGTTGCACGCTGTCATTTTATGTAATTTGCATTTGAAATTCAAACATGTACGAAAGTGTATTTAGGAAAACATTTCGCTGCCTATTGCTATTTAGATATCGGTATGCAGGTGTAAATGATAAATGATGAATGTTTATTCTGTTTCCAATCGCATCAATATCAATTTACAAATGTCGATGTTGTGCGTCGTTTTTATGCAGCTGATGGACTCAGCCATTAGTCCACGGTGCGTATGAAATTCGAAAAGGCCATTGGCATTGTTAATGTTGATCAAAGTGCCTGACAAGCGGCTTGTAATGCCAAAAGCTATGGCCAACAAATGCAGCTGAATGTCGGCTGCATGAAAAGCCAATGCAAAAATAACCTCTCCAAATAGTGTTATGTGAGTGTTTATTTGCCAGTGGAGCAGTTGGCATGCTACAATGTTTGTAATTTTCAATTTATATATTCTTATTTTTCTCCCAATTCAATTCTTGCTGTATTTTATGTGAGTTTTTGCTTTTGCTTTGGATTTTACTGTTGCCTTGTTGTTGGGCAGATTCAATTTAGAGACACGCCCCATTCCTGACACTTGCCAGCAGCTGTTTTGCACCAGGACGCGCCAGGATGTGCCAGCAAAGCAGCTACTAAATCGTTTATACGTTTGTTTTTCACATTCTTATACCCTAGTAGAGGGTATTACAATTCTGTCTTGCAATGTGTAACGCATTGAAGGTGACATGTTCGACATTCTTGATCATAGGAGTGATTAGTCAGAAGTTAGTTTCTTGCATAGCAAATAAATTTTTGGTTTTCAAGAGACGTTATCCGAGCTCAGCATTTTAGAGCTCTACTATGCTTCTTAGCAAATATCCGATTACTGGTATGCAAATAATTTTTGTATTGAAAAATTGTGTTGATCAAACTCAGCAATCAGTAGCCTCGCAATTTTCCTTACTTAACTCCAATGACTACAAGGGTATTTAATAGGCGCTTAGCCGAGGATTGCTGTTCGTACTTGTCTTTTTTTTTTTGTTTTGGTCTTGCTGGCCAATATTTTGAGCCCTTTTCTCGGCGTTTTCTTCACTGTTTTCTTATTGAAATTCAAGTTGCTAGAGTTTTGTTTCGTTTTTGTTGTCGTCTTTTATTTCTTGCCCTGTGAATGTTAATGCAATATGTATAAAGTATATATATATATGATATCAACTCTTAAATTTATTGCCTCATGAACGCCACAAGTTCAGCTTTGTCTAGGCCCTGGTTATAGTTAACCCTTTCATACAATTTCAATAGAATTGACCAATTTGATTGTTTTCATTTTTAGCTCGGCCTTGGCTTGTGGTTACACATTTTGTGATGGCCCTTGGGCGCTGGCCGAGCTGTGATTGGTTTGCAATTGAATTTGTGAGTGGTTTGTAGCAGAACTATTTCTTCTCTCTTCTTTTATTTATTTATTTATTTTTTTTTTTTGGAAGAGCAGATTTATATTCACAGCTAATCTTGGCACGGAAATGATTTGAAAGCCAAAAGGTGGTCATGAGTTGATGGCATCAGTTGGTTCGTTTCACTCGCTTTCATTTGCTTTGCAAGCCTCGATTGCATGTTTCCATAGGGTACACAGACAAACACACACACATGCACACACGTATACATCATCGGGGTGCACAGATGCTTGTATAAGTATTGTCACGCTTCTACGAAACTCTCATTTATCAATTTAGTTGACAGTCGATTTCTTTTCAATTCGAGGGAAAAAACCACTTCAATCGGATTTTTGTTCGGTTGAGTCGAAAGGGAGGGTCAACCTGTGTGGCCAAATCAAAAAGCCAACGATATCAAACAGATTCTGTTGTTGTTCCTGTTCGTTTCCTGTTGTGGCATGTGCAATAAAGTACTAAAATAGACAAATGGAAAGATAGCCAGAAGCATCAATGTGATAGATGGAAAGGGAGAGAGTGTGGTTGAGTGAAATTACCATATTCTAGTCAAATCCCAATCACAATGCTGTCCACTAGACGCGTTGCAATCAAAATCGGGCAATGTGAATGATGTTCTTGGAGGAGAAGCGCAATTTAGTGCTGAAAGTAATTGAAAAAGGGTGAACGAAACGTTATCTTGGAATTGTAAGAATGCCTTACCTATAAGTATATTTTTAATATCCAATGTGAAGTCTATAAATTACCACATTTAATTAATGTAAGTTTGCTTCGACTTTATTTACACTAAAATAAGTCGGATAACCAATTGAGCTTATACTATTTATACAGAATTAATAAATGAATGAATAAATAGATAAAGCGATAAATAAACAACAAACATATAAACGACATATCGCGCGCTAGATTTCTCATAAGCATATTATAGAGAATTATCTATAAATATTTGTTTAACCATTCAATTATTAGAGAGATCTCTTTAAACGATTTTAATTTAGTTTTTTTATATAACGTTTATGGAGCACATACATAAATAATTCAGTATAGAGACGTCTGTGCATCCATCCGCGCATTGAGAGTCATTTAGCATTTGTCAAAGGCTTCACCTAGAGCACAGTTTGAGCTGGCCTAAAGTCAATGGCAGTTGATAAGAAAAGCGAGCTCGATAGATGGCGAAACAAGAGCAACAATTAATTTTGCCTTTGATCGGCTGATGGACGTTGCTTTTATGGCAACGGCTCCATTTGGCTGACATTTCGCTTTGCGATGGCGGAGGGGGGTAGAGCGGGTGTCGGTTTGTTATGCGCAGTTTGGCGCGGCACTTGTCACAGTTTTTGTGCACATGTCTAACACAGGCTGGGACTCACTTGGTTTTACTTGTGCACTTGCAGGCGCCTGTTATGAAGAGAATGGCGCGACCTATGGACTGGGCAACTTCAATTCGCATTTGCGTTTCAATCAGAGCGGGTCGCCGTATTTGCTGTACGAGGATGGCGTTAACTGCGGAAACGGCAGCCTGCGGTGGTCCACAAAAATCGAATTTGTTTGTGCCAACAATGCAACGAAGGACAATGGCACCAGCGCCAACATCGATGCTGTACAAATAATTGAGGACTCCAATTGTCAGTTGTTAATTCAATACAAGACTCAGCACGCCTGCCAACAGCAGATTAGATGCAAAGTGAAGGTCTATGTGGAGCACTCGGAGGATGGCACCGGTGGCGGTGGCGAAGAACTGGTCGACCTAACCCCCTTGATTAACGCCAATGAGAATTATGAGGCTCGGGTTGAGCTGCCGGCGAAGCAGCAGCAGCAGTTGCCCAAAAACACAAAGGTGAGTGTCGACCGCTGATTTCCCATAGGTGTAGCTGCTATCTAACTAGTTGCCTTTTCTCTTTGTCCTTGCAGTTCTTTTTGAATGTGTGCCGTCCATTAGTGCCGAAATACCAATTAGGCTGCGCCGGCGGTTCAGGTGCCTGCATGGCCAAAATGTCGGCAGCTGGTGCGCCCGAGGAGGAGCAGGTAAGTACCAGCCAAAGCGGCTTATAAGCTTAAGCCTCAGCTCAAGCGTATGTGTTGCTGTTCGTGAGTGTGCGTGTGTGTGCGCGCTGTACTTTGTTCGTAATTGGCACCAATTTCAGTTGAATATTTTTGCGACTCATAAGCACATTAGTTCATGCTAAACGCTTCAATTTGCACATTAAGCCGTTTGGCCAAATGCCCAAAAAATTTGTGTCGCCATTCATGCATTAAATATGCAGCAAATCCAATTGCTAAGCCAGACTACACTCTACAGTTGCCGCCAGCCACTCTTTACTCAGTGGCCGCTAGGCACCAGTGAGTGACCAGTGGATTTGGTTACTTCATTAAGCGGCGCAACCGACTCCGTCGCCGCCCGCCTGCCGTTGACAGCTATTGGAGCTGACTGAGGCCAGTGCCTAAAAGTTGCCTAATGCCACAAATTGTAAGCACGCCCATTTGCCCATTTTCCAGCTGAGTCCCTCCTCTCTCCCTTTCACTCTGTGTGTGTGTGTGCTTGGGTGTCCTGCTGGCCTGCGCTTAAATAAGTACTTAAGCCCACAAAAGTATGCAATGAAATTCGCTTGAAATGAGATTTCAGATCAGGCTACAAATTGCTCGCCAACATTGTCGGGCTTTTGTGCTGCACAGATGTCTGAATGTGCTGAAAATTTGTGCTGCAATTTGTTTCACAGATTATGTTAGATCTCTTACGATATCGAGATTATCAATAGATATGCATATGCATATGTGTTTAGCTCTGACTTATTGTCTCTCTGTTTACTGATAAATAGTTTTGAGTTTAATTAAATGACTTTATTCAATTTTATGCACGTTGAATTCCTCACTTCGTAATTTTGTAGTGCATTTCTGTGCACTCTTTATAAATATGTCCATTTACCATGACTTTTAATTCTATAAAAAGTACATATATTTTTAAATATGCCAGTCTTCGTAGCCATTTTAACACACTCTTTAGACCTGAATCCTTAGGATAAAACCTCAAAACTGTCGGCTATTTCATCGATTAATTTTTGGGCCACTTCCTTTTGGATCGCAAAGTTGAGATTCTCTCATGCAATAATTATATGAATTATATTGCGCTGTCTGAGCGAGCCAATCATTGCCAGCGACATGGAATGCGTGCCGTATGCCTCAGGCAGTGCCCGCAATTCTCCCCCTAAAAACATAATTTTTATCACATGCCTGAGGCAAAAACATTGTTCAAGTTGTTAAAAAAAATAAGCACGTACGCGCTGCAAATAACGGGGCCCGGTTGCCGCGGATAGGGGTGTCGGTGCGGCTGCGTGGCTCGCGAAATTTGTGAACGTAACATAGCAGAAGGCAACGGAATGGAACCGTACGGAAGGATATGGCAAAATGCGGCTATGGCGTTGACGCTGGTGTAAAAATATGTGCACACACAGACGAACATATATGTATACATACAAATAAATTTATGCATATAAAACTGTAAAAACAGCTTTTAGCGGCCAACAGCCATCACAGTGGTTGGATGCGCCCTTGCGCCACACACAAACCGTTCTCCGGCTAGGAGTTGTGCGGTGCATGGGGAAATGTGTGTGCCCCATGCGACGTGCTGTGCAGAACATTTCCGGCTGTTCGTGGGGGTATGTGTGAGAGTGGAGAGATTGACTGCGGCCGAGTGGGGATGGGGTACGGTTGGGGTTGACTGTTGTCGATTGGGGCAAAGTGCCGTCGGTTTTGTTTGCATGCCACTGGCCTAGAAATAACGTAGCCATGGTTATATATATTTTTCTAAAATTTATATTGCTTTATTTGCACAGCAGGCACACATTCGCATACGCAGGGAGTCACTGGTAGTCGCTGGCAGTGGCTGCTGCTGTTGACATTTGCGCCACGTTTTGCATTTTGAAAATGCTCCGTTTTCAGCGGCATTTCGTGTGCGGAAACGGAAATGTGCTGCTAGCTGCTGACGCGCACTTTAACGGGCAACTCTTTACTTCAAGCAACCAAACCCCAAGCCCTTTCAAGCACCCGCCCACCCACACTCATTGACAGTTGTCAAATGTCGAAAGTCGTTTGGCCTCTGATGTTGCTGGTGCTGCTTCTTCATTGGATTTGCACTCCGGCATTTGCAGATATTTTAATGTGCTGCCAGTTGCACATCCTAAGCCATATCCTTGAGACCCATTGACTTGGCACATTTGATTTTCTAACTGTCACTGCGTTCGAATCGCTGTGCTATGCGCTGCTGCTGCTTCTTCTGCTGCAGCTCATTGTCATGCAGCGTCTTCAGCGAACGCTGCAAATTTGGCTGTGGCATGTGCCTTGCATTGCCAAGTTGCATGCAACCTGTTAATGGGCAATGCACAAAAAAAAAAGAAACAAAAAATAACCGAAGTCGAACTATGTTTGGTATTTGTAGAATTTGCTCAGCAAATACTGAAATACCTTTAAGCCAGTCGAACATTTTTGGTTAAATTTAGCAGACATTGTTTTGTTGTTTGGGACGAAGCAAATTATGCTGCTGCCCATTGTGAAGCACACACAAGCAGGAATACAATTCTGGGCGTCTTTTTGGCTAGCCATGTCTTTGGTCTGCGTGTCGCCACAGGACATTTGATGCTAATGCTTCACGCTCGCCATGTCCTCTGCCAGTTGAGCACAGTTGCGAGTTCTCAGCTCTCCAAACGCTGAACTTGCACAAATCTTTATTGCTTTTGAGCTGAAGCTTTTACTTTTCTTTTCTTTTTATTTATTTTGTTTTTTTCGTTTTCAACTCAATGAAGTTTTAGCAGCAAATACACAACGGGCCACTTCTGTTCTACTCTATACCCTGCTCAGCATGAAGCACTTAAGTTTGATCAGCTAACTGGGCAGCAATTAAGTGTGCAAAAAGTCATTGGAAATTGTTGAGACAGCACATTTCGGATTAAGAAGCTCTCTGCTGCTGCTGTTTGATTTCGTGTTCAGATACTTTTCTATCTATTGCTTATATCATTTTTTGTTGTTGTCCTGTGCTTTCAATTAGAGTGCAATTGAAATGCGACGACACACACATGACTTGAAGTTTTCATTTAGTTCTGTGCGGAGCTGATTTTCAACAGCAACAACTTGACTTTGCTTTCTTGCTAGTTGTTCATACTGCTAATACCCTTTTGCCGTTGAAAATGGCTAAGAAGGGTATTATAGTTTTGAGCGAATTAGGAAATCAAATATACCCTCCCTTATATTATGATTTCTTATTTTGACTAAATAGAATAATTAAAAATAAGAAAGAGCGTACTATTGACTCGTGCTTTTGAAAAATTGTATGTGAAATATGAATGCTTGCAAACTCTGCTGCGTAAAGGGTATCTATTAGTCTAGCACTACCAAATAAGGCGCTCTTATTATTGTTAAGTATGTTTTCTGTTTTTATTGATGTTTTTTTTTTTTTGAATAGATCTTTATTTTACAACTTATTTATTTGGTATCTGCAAACAATTAAGCTGGCTTTACTTATTATTTGTTTTCTTTTTCTTCTTTTGGTCTGGTCTATGCTTTCCCTTTTCCGGTTTTTTCTTCTCTGTTGAGCGAAAAGTTTACGAAACTTGAAAGAAAATATAAACAAGCGGCCAGGGAACATAGACAAACAGCACTCGTTCGCTTGTACCAATACGATAAGAAAGTTTTTCAATAAATTTCGGAACAGCAAGTTCCTCAAAACTTGCCGTCTACAGCTAAGCTGATAAGCTGGCGCCAGCTCAACATGCATATATATATATATACATACATACATATATATAAATTTATATACTATGTTTAAAAACCTAACCTACTACCAAACTATATCTAATGCTAATGAGCATTGCCTGTTGAAGGACATTCCTAAATGCTGCTGCTGTCAGCTGGTTGTTTGCTGATGCCGCATTAGTTCAGATTTTGAGTTTTCAATGGATTTTCAATGGGCAGGAGCAGAGAGCGGACGAAGGATAGGGCACAAGCAAAAAAAAAAACTGGCAGCTAGCGTAACGGTTAGCAATAAATAATAGAGCAAACTGCTTAAACCTTGCCTGAGCTGCATACGAAATGAGTTTGTGCCGTCTGCCCGCCAGTGGCTAATACGTTTAAGATGAGACGACAACATGTGCAACGTTTGCCACCATCGACAACGCTGACCCGGGGCATAAATCTTGTGCCACTCGAGCGGCAGCCATTGCCCTGGCTGCTGCCATGGTGCTGCAACTGCTCCACTTTGGACATTAAGCGCACGTCGCCAGTTGAATGCCCCAACTGGCTAGCTGGCTGCCTAGTTGACTGTCTGCTGGTGACACTGTTTAAGCTGCCTGCTTGCCAGCAACAGAACGGTGCACAATGGGGTTTGGAGTTTGGGGTTGGCGCGTGCTGCTTGCTTTGCCAGTGTGGGTGCTGCCAACGCCTGTTGCAATCGCAGCGTCATTGAACAGGCGACAAAAAGGTCGATTATTGAGCAATTTGCACAGCTAATGCCTTGCTAAGGACATTGCATCCTGCTGCTCTCAGCTTAAGCAGGCATTGCAAGTGTTGTTATAACACCGCAAACAATTTACTTGTGAGTCGTGCCACAATTTAGATTTTGCAGCTCTTATTTGTTTTATAATAAATCATTTGTTTATTGTTATTTGATATGCGTGACTGTTTAACCCTTTGACCTGGCCGCTATTAACTATTTACCAGCTTATATAGCTTTTGCGGCGGCCACACTGAAATCTGGAAAATGCCATCCATTAAGTTGTCGTTTGTGCTGCATTGACTGTCCCAGGGTTACTGGCTGCCAGGGGCCATAACGTTTTGTCCATCCGTTTGGCTGCTTATCGTTTCATCGTGACATTGTCCACATCGATATATGGGGCCACTCAAACGCATGACCTGTTCGAAAAAAAAAAAACAAATGCTCTGGCCTTGGACAGCGGGCAATAGCAAAGACAAACGCGTTGAACGTAAACGTGAGTCTGATAGAGATTTCTCGTTATTTGCGGCAATCTCTCCCATAAAGTCCAACATGTGTTTGGCCACACGCTGCATCGATGAGTGGACATGGACATGCACAGCAATCAACTGACATACCTGTTTTAAAGTCTTTTGCTCATAACTCTTTGGTCAGTATCTATCAATATATTTCTCTTCTGATTGCAGAGTCTTGGTTTTCCACTGGTTAGCATGTCGCCTATCAACCGCACCAACGCTGAGCTGCTCTACGTGAAAGGTGATCCTTGCCCCAACGACAAGGCCATGCAACTCTCCACTCGCATTCACTTCAGGTGTAACATGCGCGCGGGTCGCGTAAGTATCGAGATGATGTGACGGCATTTGCGGCAATTGAGTTAATGGTTTATGATTGTTTTTATTATTGCAGGGTCAGCCGGTGTTGACTTTCATTGATGACTGCAACTATCACTTTGATTGGGACACGAGTGTGATTTGCCCGTCGCATGATTGTAGCTTTAGTGCGGACACATGTGAGATTGTGCAGGATGAGCTGAACATGCGTTACAATGTTAGGAATGCCTCCTTTACAAAGGGCGGCAAGATTGAGGTGAGTTTGAGATCAACAACCCGATATGCTATAATTCTAAGCTAACTCTTACTTAGATCGACTACAACAAAAGTAAACTGGAGCTAAACATATGCGGATTGGATCGTAAGGCCAACACGGACTACTCGCAGGATTTGGTCAACTTGTTCTTCACACACGACCTACCCGGCTGCGGCAAGGAGGGTGAGTCAAGCTTATAGGCTAATTCGATTAGTGTTTCTTGTTCTTATTGAAGAGAGAAACGGATAGAGAGCTTGTCGCTTGTCGTATCCGTTTCCGCTTCCGTTTCCGTGTCCGTTTGTACTTCCGCTGGCGCAACACGCGCATTTCCGCACGCCATTTTGTTGGCCACTCTTTTTTTTCGCAGCTGCAGCGGCTGCTGTTGCTTTGAGCTCCTTTTGGATAATGACAAAATCGCATTAGAATTGGCGCTCAGCCCAATGCACTTCCGTTTTCCTTATCTACGCGCCCTTACGCCCCATAACCCTTATTCTACACACTCAACACATACACACACGCTACGTCAAGCGCTTCACACAATTTTTTCGTTGCCCGCTTTCGGGCGCCATTGCAGCGAATGCGACACTTTTTCGCGCTGCGCTTGTCGCCATTTTGTGTTTTTTTTTGCGTGTTTTCTTTTTTGCTGTTATCTAACAGCCTTTTATATCCTGCAGCCGACAAAAACGCAAAGTACTTGAAATTATCAGAATAGGCGGAAAAAAACTTTAGGACCAGAAAAAAACAAAAAATACAGGAACAAAAAATTAAATTGTCGACGAGATGTGGTTAAATAATCTTCGTGCAAATCCGAGCACTTTTATACCCTGTAAAAATAACGTGAATGGTAAAAAGGTTATAATTATATATAGTTTACAAATTTATGTTTGTATCAAAAATAATATTGACTTAGCACAATTTTTTCATTAATGGACTCGTCATGTAGTCCCTAGTTGGTTAAATGTTCCCAGAAGTCACAGAAGATATAAGAGATAGGTGAAGGTTTTTGTAAATCAAAAAGCAGAATCAATGAATATTAGGTTTTGATGTATATCCCTTCGCTTGTTAAGTGACAGCTTTGATTTCAGACGAACATTTATAGCAGGAACAGGGTATCCCCCAGTCCAGTATATTCCCATAGACCATTCTTTTTTCATGCTTACATTTTTTTATGTGTCTGCCTTTGCTGCTGCATTCGAGCCATGAATATTTAAAGGCCCACACACAAAATATTTCAGACTTTTGTCGAGTGTTTTGTGCATGGTCATGATTTTTATTGGCACTAGCGTGTGAGACTTAAAAATAGAACTTTACCATTAAATAAAACTTTTTGTTTGTTATGGCAACGGGCAATAAAACTGTCAATTTAATTATGGCCACGTTCCCTCAGTCAGCTGAAAGCCCAACACAATGAATACAACTAAGTATTATAAAACTCTGTTTGTCGACCCATTTCGGGCACAAGCGTGTGTGTGTGTGTGCATGGGTGGGTGTGTGGTTGACAATCTGTAAGCGATCAGACAATTTTAATATGTTCACCGACATGCAGAGCACAAATGCAAGCAGCTAAAGGGGGCTGAAGGGGTGCTGCTGCTCTCTGGTTGACTGTGTGTCTGAGCCCAAATCCCAAAACAGTTGCGCCTCCCATGCGTCCCACAGAGTTGTTGGTGTGCATATTTTGTCTGACACACATCCACACACATTCACACACACCCACACACACCCACTGACTAACGCACCCACAAACATTGGACATGCTGTGCATTTGAACGACAACAGCAGCCACAAAATCTAACCCTCTGTTTCACTGCGCCTCGCCTCCCTTGCCACTCATATCATGCGGCTTTTGTTGTCGTCTCCAGTGATAATTATTTTTGGCTTTTATGTGATAACTTTGCAGCATAGAGCAGCCCCAAACCAAACCCGTAGTTCTGGCTCTATGGCCAGGCATTTGGAATATGATAAGGATTCATTTAAGCAATGTTGTTGTTGCCCTTGTCCGGGCTATGCCCCAGTTGTGTGTTGTGTTGTGTTGTTTGTCGGTCAATTAAAATAAAATGCCGCTTTGTTTTAGTACGGGTTTGTCTGGTTTTCATCACTTTTTATTAGGGTCAAGTTTGTGTTTGGAGTCCCCGTTTTTTTTTTTGTTCATATTTATTTTTGTTTCATCGTTTCAACTAATTAAAACCTTTAAATTGTGTTCTGTTTGCTTTCATCGCAGGCAAGATGAATGTCCAGATGCGTTTGATATGCAGCAACCAAACTGAGAGTTCCAGCAGCATTACAAACGTAAGTACCTAACTTGTTGAAACAAAAGTTAAATCTGAATATAAAATTACTTAATTAGAACTCGTTACTGAGCTGTGTAAAGATGCAGACTTAAAGCTTATACATTCGTGCTAAGTGCTCTCTTAAATAATTATGATAATTACTTTGGATACATGAGCATTTTTATACCCTGAAGGGTATATTATATTTTTTGCAAAATCAAAATGTATGTAACAGGTATATATATATATAAGTATATATATTCTTGATCAGCATCAATAGCCGAGTCGATCTCGTCCGCCCGTCCGTCCGAAGGATCTCAGAACATATAAGAGGTATAGGCTTGAAATTTAGATTTAGGTGTTCCTAGTGCCTGCGCAGATCGAGTTTGTTTCCGATAATCGATAACTTACTCCGTTTCCAAGCAATAGATAAAAATCGATATCGATATCCTGTTTTTTGGGCAATTTTGGTAAATGATAATATCTAGAGTCACGAAACATGATATGTTGCTTCTAAAATAGAATATATATATGCATTTGATGTTGGAAGAAGAGGGTTCAGGGTATCCCCTAGTCGGGAGCTCCCGACTAGAACATCTTACTTGTTTGGTCTAACTTGATCAGTTTTAAACTTAGATTATTTTATATATGTTTTAAGCATTTTGGATTCCAACTTTTAGGCTTGCTTTCGATTGCGGACATGAGAAAACACAAATAACTTACTTAATTTCGGAAATGTCATGCTAAATACTTGGTAAATTCCAAGACAAGTGGATAAGAGCCACAGGAACCCTTGTTCCGAAAAGTGTAGCATACATTTTTGGGCTAAAGGGAGAGCACATTAAATTGACATGGAAGACGCAACAAGCCGAAAAGCCCGAAGTGGATTTAACACACATTTTTGCATGTATGTGCAGTCCATGGCCTGCTGCTAGCTGCGCCAACAGCAAGTTTCAGCAAGTTTCTTCGACAAAGTCTGGCCAGGAGCTGAGCGCGGCTGCTTCAAAGTAAAAATTTATAAGAAATATGCAGAAAAAGACCGCACAACGTGGCACAACTGGGCGAAAAACAATGTGGCAGGTGTCCTTTGTTCTGCTTACCACTTGGCAAATCCGTTTTGCCAGCCATTCCGAATTGTTGTTGTTGTCGCCGTTGTTGCTTTAGCTGTTGCTGCTGCCTTTCAGCAAGAATGTTGCCTACCAACCTGTGCAGCCTTTGGGTTTGCCAGCCACCATTTTTTATACCCTTGTATAGGTCATTGTTATGTTCTATGGAAATATGTAACGCGTACAAGGCGACATCTCCGACCCCATTACGTTTGTATATTGTCTTGATCGGTATTAACAGTCGATATTATAGCCGGGTTGTCCTTCTATTTGGTCTCTCAGTTTTAAAGCATTTGTCATAAAACTTACTATTTCCAATTTGAGAAGGTAAAGGTAGCATTTAGGTATGAACGGTCGTAAGAAAAGTTCTTGCCAGAAAAACATTCAAGTTAATCTAAATATCGCACCCAAGTTTGCAATTACGAGCTCTACCATGCTCCTCGCAAATTAGCTCATGACTTTTGTATTATATAGCTGACGAGCTTTCCAATTCATCTCCTAATTCTTCTCTGCCAAACTGTTAGCCGTATGTTCGCAAGAGTATTTAATCCGCAGTGTGCTTTTTTTAAGCTTGCTTGGTGTCTGTTGCTTTTGCATAGAAGGTGTTGTTGTTGTTGTTGCTGTTGCTGCTGCTTTTAGCCGCCAGGCATGCTATTGTTTTGACCCAAGCCTTTGTTGTGCTTAACAATCGCAGCTAAAAATGCACGTGCCTGACTTGCTACAGCTTCAGCATGTTGCCCCTTTCTTAGGGTCTTGGCCCTTGCCACAGATCGCAGTTGCAGCAGCGGCTTTCAGCTCTAGTTTCTCTCGGAGCCATTGTTTGTAAGTTGTGTTGCCTTTTGATTACGCCTTTGTGTGCCGTTGACTGGCGTTGACCCTGCGTCAGCTTCATTCCTGTGCTTTGCTGTTGCTTCTTGTTTATCAAATAATTGTCTCTGTCATTGCAGCAGCAGCTGTTGCATATTTTACACCCAAGCATAATGCACGCCTCATAAAATTCAATTATTGTGCGCGTATCTTAATTGAACTTAAGTCTTCTTGTTCACGCTAGTCAGGAACGACTTGCCTATTCAAAAAGTTAAATATATTAAATAAGTAAGTAATTCCTAAAATAGTTGTCTAATCCTATTTGTCATTGAATTGCTATTGAACCTTTATTTAGCTTAGGCTGCATGTATTGCATTCAACTTATATTTATTTTCCGATTTGTTCGTTTTAAATTTGTTTATGTATCAATGTTTGCTCTAAATATTTATGTTTGGACACCACGAAAGCACTTGAAATGTTGACTTTCTGCAAAATTTGCTGCGCTTTATTGATTTATGGTTTTTTATTTTCACTTTGAGATGTTAATACTTCTTCTAACAATTCCAGGTTTACTTAGAGATAAGGTGGATGACATATTCTCCAATAAGATTCTGGCCTTTTCAATATTGACATGAATCTTTTTGTTTAAAACGTGACCCGTAAATACCCCAATTAAATGTCGGTTACTCTTTAACCTTGCGCTGTTGTGTATGCTACAGTTTTGTTATGTGCTTTCCAATCTATTAATTGATTTTGCTGTGCCTGTCCTACTTAGGTATATAGGTAATTGAAGGGGACGACCGCATGTTGCTGAAAAATTGTCAATTTGCAGCAGCTCGTAATTAGTGGTCTGTCCGGCGCTGGCAACTTTATTGGCCTGTTCCAGGGAAATGCCGAAAATGCAGCAATTAGTGCTTGAGGTTTAATAAACACACGCACACACACACGCACACACACACACACACGCTCTCTCCCTCCCTCCCTCCTTCTATCTCGCTCCTACACGCACGCACGCACACACACACGCGCGCACATATAAGTGTTGTAGTCCATTACGCACAAATTGCTAGAAGAGACGCCGTCAGCAATTGAAAATATTTGCCTGTATATTTTGTGATAGGCCCTCTCTTTCTCTGTTGTTATTTTTATTTCGTTTTTATTTCTGTTTGCTTTCTCTACTCCCCCCTCTCCCTCTCCTTTGTATTTGCTGTGTAAACATGGAAGGGACGCTTTGTTGTTGCTTGTTGCAACATTCGCATGTGGCACAAACCAATTGACCCAAATTTAAACCAGCGCACAAATAGCTGCAAGCGGCTGGCAACCAGAACGCAGTCGCACCGGGCTGAGCTATGGATCTAAAACTGGGTCCTGGCCATGGGACATGGATTGGTATTAGGGAACTGCACAGCCCCCTCCCACATACACGTACACGTACTGTTGGGAGTGTTTGTCTGATTGCGGTTAATTGCATTACACACTTCGTCGAGGTGTTATTAATTTTATTTCTTTGCCAAGTGCACGTAATGACATTTAGGCTCGCTCCGCTGGTTATATCCGTCTGTCCCATGTTTGACATACATTTCATGCTCAATTACGTGTGTGCAAACAGGTTGCAGCTGCTCGTTAATTTCCATTTGACAATTAAGCAAAAATAAGCACTTAGTGTTCATGCAGATCAAATTGATTTTCTTAACAAAAGGCATTGAAAAACGATGTTTAGCATATTAAATAATAAACTTTATTAAACCGCAAAGTTGGTATAATTAAGTACATTCTACTAAATATTGTTTAATGCCGATTTCCGTTTCATGCAACTGGCAAAGCTCATGTTAGTTGAGTTGTGTTTTTTTTCTCAATCGCTTTTCAACGAGGTGCTATATTTGTGCGTAAATGTGGCAACTCCAAGCAAGTGGCAAAGTCTTGACCTAGACTTGCCAGACCGGCAGAAACCCCTTTACCATTTTTGGTCTACTGCTCTATGAGAAACCTAATTTAAGAAAAAAAATATAAGCGTAGTTAAGCAGCTTGTTAAATTATTTCGAATATAAATTGAAATTTATGCGATTCCGAAATCCCCAAAAAAACTTTTTTCAGAAATTGTACCCAGTTGGTCATTGAGCAATTTTTATCCGTCAGCTCCAAACTGCGGTTGCTTGTTTAACTTTCTATTGTTGTTTAAATTGCGTAGAACACACGCTAAACAGACATCAGCTAACACACAGACGAACACAAACACGGCGACAGTTTTGTAGTTGTTGTCCTTATTTTTGGCCAGCTGGCAAGTGGAACAAAAGGCAAAAGCGGACTTGTCTGCAGAAGCGGGAGCGACGTTGTCGGAAAATTAGCGATTCAATGAAATGGGATTTTAAATGGCTGAAAACTTTTTAATGCGTCTACGGTCGTCCTGCGCGTCGTCCTCGACATGTTTGTAGTTCGTGTCTGGGGCGGCGCCACGGCCGGGTGCGCGACCCGGGACGCCGGCAAAGTTGTGCAACGCGAGTTTTTGCCACTTGCAGTTGCCAGTTGCAGCCGCCGCAAAAGTTTTTAAATTATGCGCACATTTGCAGCGCCTCGTTGCTGTTTCTCCCGCTGCCATGTACTGGTTCTTGTTGCTCCTGTTGGCCGCGCCGGAAATGGTCTTTGGCCGAAAGTGTTACACGCAGCGTGCAGCCGGACGGATGGCGTGCGACAACGACCCTGTAGATGGAGCTGGGGAGACGGGGTTGGATCGGAGTCCGGGCTTGAGGCTGTGGGCGCGCAAACAAGTTGCAAACAGTTGTTGCGCTACAATTTTCAGAGCTTTTGTAAACGGCAATGGGTCAGGCGGGAGCGTGCCGCGGCGCAGCGCCGGACGGAACGAGCAATTGCCTTTCGGTTGAAATTTATGTATTTTTCTCCATATCAATTTAGTTATTTATTATTTTTCTTTGCACTTAATGAAGAAAGTTTCTAATTACAAGAATCTCGTTTGCAGGATACACAGTGCAGTTTGCTCTATGTGCAACGCACACCGAGCATCTGTTCGTTTCTCGGTCTCAGCGTGCCGCCACAGGATGCCGGAGACCACACCACCACCACCACCACTCCCCCTAGTACAACAACTAGCACCAGCACCACTAGCACGCCGGCGACGGCAACGGGTAAGCCAGCCGAAGCAGCAACAACTGCTGCAACATTCCCAATAGTGGCAGCTGTTTCCAGCCCAACGGCCTCCGTGGGCAGTAAGTGCAGCTAGCCAAGATCCTTTAGCAGCAGTTGACATCATTATATTTACAGGTATCCTGGGCATTATCTTGTCGGTGACATTCTTTGTGGCATGCGTGGGAATGTTTGCCTTCTCCCCGGCGCGAAGGCAGCGCGTGCGTCGACTCTTCCGACGAAGCGGCTCAGCGGTGCGATATTCCAGGGTACAATTAACTAATCAGCAGTCGTTTAGCCATTGTCCAACTATTGATTCTATTGCAGGTACAGTCCAACGAGGAGGCTAATCTGCTTCTGGAACCGAATGGAGAGTTTACCGAAAGCGATGATGATATGTTACTTTAGAAGGCTACACCGAGACACAAGGTTGTGGCACGTACTGATTGCTATAGAAAGTTAACCAAGTGACATAGACAAAATTAAAATTTTTAAAAAAAGACATGAGAAATCCCAAAGTGAGGAACGTTTAACACCAAAGACCGAAAACGCAACTGATTGTGAATTAAAAACTGATAGTAGACAAGTAATGAATTGTGTTGATGAAAGCTATTATGTACTTACTTATGTACAATACGTCTGGATGACAACGACAAACATACAAACCCAATTTAATGGAACTATTAATGTATATGCCTAAACAATATTATATATTTTATATACCTGCACTTCAAATATGTAAAGGCAAAACCCCAATAAGGCCCCGTAGCCACAAACTTTACTATATATACACACACACACACATATATATATATATATATATATATGTAGCTAATTGCTAATAGAGAATTGCATGCGACAATTGATTTAACTCTTAAAGTATTTTTCCAAGCAACATTACTTTTAGTTATGTGTAAGCAAACCCTTTTCCTGTTTTAAGCATTCAACTGCGGGCTTATATTTGACATCTTCAAATCAATACTGCGGTAAAATGTTTGACACCCTTTTTTGTTTGTCGTTTTATTGTATGAGACTGGGCGATGTGTACTTAATTTTTTTTTTGTTGTATAACGTTTTTACTTTTGTTTTTTAGTTTATTAAGCCGGCTGTAAAATAATTCAATTTAAATACCATTATAACTGTATGTAAATCTATATATACTCTGTATAAAAAGAATTTGAGAAACATAAGCGAAAATAAATATATAAACATATTTTTGACATTGTTTTATGATATTTCACTTGTGGATCAGCGTTATCTGATTGAACCTCTTCGCCAAGCTTAACTTTCTGGGGTACAGCTTTTTCTTAAGCTCCAACGGAATAGACGAATTGTAAATCTTACGAAATTGACGTCCTGAACGGTAAGTAATGAACCCATTAAAAATGGTATAAGGTATAAGGGTATATTGTATTTGTGCAAAATCCAAATGTATGTAACAGGCAGAAGGAAGCATCTCCGACCTTATAAAGTACATATATTCTTGATCAGCATCAATAGCCGAGTCGATCTAGCCATGTCCGTCTGTCTGTCCGTCCGTATGTATGAACGCAAGGATCTCAGAACATATAAGATCTCAGAACATATAAGCTATAGACTTGAAATTTTAGATGTAGGTGCTCCTAGTGCCTGCGCACATCGATTTTGTTTCCGATAATCGATAACTTACTCCGTTTCCAAGCAATCGAATAGAATCGATATCGATATCCTGCTTTTTGGGCAAGTTTGGTAAATAATAAGAGCTAGAGTCATTTTGATATTTTGCTTCTTAAATATTATATATTTGTCAAGTATCTTTCATTTTATACCTATCCCCACCTCTCCGCTAATACCACACAGCTATAAATTAATAACCAAACTTTTATTGCCAACCAATTCAAGCCACAATTTAAATGCAATTGACTTTTCAGTATACACAATTATTTTATGATACAATAAGATATACTGTAGAAAATTTCATAAAGATCGGTTAAAAAATAATCAAAGTTATATGACCCAAATCGACAAAATGGCAAAATCGAGGTCGGTGCGAAATCGAAACTTTTTCGATGATTTTTCTTTTAATATCTCGGGTAATAGCTCTGCGTGGAGATATGGCGTTCCAAAACGACAGAGCTCCGCGCGGAGATATGACGTTCCAAAACGACAGAACTCCGCGCGGAGATATGACGTTCCAAAACGACAAAACTCCGTGCGGAGATATGACGTTCCAAAACGACAGAACCCCGCGCGGAGATATGACGCTCCAAAACGACATAGCTCCGCGGAGATATGACGTTCCAAAACGACAGAACTCCGCACTCTGCGTGAAGATATGACGTTCCAAAACGACATAACTCCGCGGAGATATGACGCTCCAAAACGACATAGCTCCGCGGAGATATGACTTTCCAAAACGACATAACTCCGCGGAGATATGACGTTCCAAAACGACATAGCTCCGCGGAGATATGATGTTCCAAAACGACAGAGCTCCGCGCGGAGATATGACCTTCCAAATCATCACGATTTTTTTCAAAATCGAGTTCGGTGCAAAAATGAAACTTTTTCTATAATATTTTTTTTTATATCTCGGGTAATGGCTCTGCGTGGAGATATGACGTTCCAAAACGACATAACTCCGCGGAGATATGACGCTCCAAAACGACATAACTCCGCGGGGATATGACGTTCCAAAACGACATAACCCCGCGGAGATATGACCTTCCAAATCATCACGTTTTTTTTCAAAATCGAAGTCGGTGCAAAAATGAAACTTTTTCTTTTATATTTTTTTTAATATCTCGGGTAATGGCTATGCGTGGAGATATGACGTTCCAAAACGACAGAACTCCGCGCGGATATGACGTTCGAAAACGACATAACTCCGCGGAGATATGACGTTCCAAAACGACATAACTCCGCGGAGATATGACGTTCCAAAACGACATAACTCCGCGGAGATATGACGCTCCAAAACGACATAACTCCCCGGAGATATGACGTTCGAAAACGACATAACTCCGCGGAGATATGACGTTCCAAAACGACATAGCTTCGCGGAGATATGACCTTCCAAATCATCACGTTTTTTTTTCAAAATCGAGGTCGGTGCAAAAAGGAAACTTTTTCTATTATATTTTTTTTTAATTTCACGGGTAATGGCTATGCGTGGAGATATGACGTTCCAAAACGACAGAACTCCGCGCGGATATGACGTTCCAAAACGACATAACTCCGCGGAGATATGACGTTCCAAAACGACATAACTCCGCGGAGATATGACGTTCCAAAACGACAGAGCTCCGCGCGGAGATATGACCTTCCAAATCATCACGATTTTTTTCAAAATCGAGTTCGGTGCAAAAATGAAACTTTTTCTATAATATTTTTTTTTATAGCTCGGGTAATGGCTCTGCGTGGAGATATGACGTTCCAAAACGACTAACTCCGCGGGGATATGACGTTCCAAAACGACATAACCCCGCGGAGATATGACCATCCAAATCATCACGTTTTTTTTCAAAATCGAAGTCGGTGCAAAAATGAAACTTTTTCTTTTATATTTTTTTTAATATCTCGGGTAATGGCTATGCGTGGAGATATGACGTTCCAAAACGACAGAACTCCGCGCGGATATGACGTTCGAAAACGACATAACTCCGCGGAGATATGACGTTCCAAAACGACATAACTCCGCGGAGATATGACGTTCCAAAACGACATAACTCCGCGGAGATATGACGCTCCAAAACGACATAACTCCCCGGAGATATGACGTTCGAAAACGACATAACTCCGCGGAGATATGACGTTCCAAAACGACATAGCTTCGCGGAGATATGACCTTCCAAATCATCACGTTTTTTTTTCAAAATCGAGGTCGGTGCAAAAAGGAAACTTTTTCTATTATATTTTTTTTTAATTTCACGGGTAATGGCTATGCGTGGAGATATGACGTTCCAAAACGACAGAACTCCGCGCGGATATGACGTTCCAAAACGACATAACTCCGCGGAGATATGACGTTCCAAAACGACATAACTCCGCGGAGATATGACGCTCCAAAACGACATAACTCCTCGGAGATATGACGTTCCAAAACGACATAGCTTCGCGGAGATATGACCTTCCAAATCATCACGTTTTTTTTTCAAAATCGAGGTCGGTGCAAAAAGGAAACTTTTTCTATTATATTTTTTTTTAATTTCACGGGTAATGGCTATGCGTGGAGATATGACGTTCCAAAACGACAGAACTCCGCGCGGATATGACGTTCCAAAACGACATAACTCCGCGGAGATATGACGTTCCAAAACGACATAACTCCGCGGAGATATGACGTTCCAAAACGACAGAGCTCCGCGCGGAGATATGACCTTCCAAATCATCACGATTTTTTTCAAAATCGAGTTCGGTGCAAAAATGAAACTTTTTCTATAATATTTTTTTTTATATCTCGGGTAATGGCTCTGCGTGGAGATATGACGTTCCAAAACGACATAACTCCGCGGAGATATGACTTTCCAAAACGATATAGCTCCGCGGAGATATGACCTTCCAAATCATCACGTTTTTTTTCAAAATCGAGGTCGGTGCAAAAATGAAACTTTTTCTATTATATTTTTTTTAATATCTCGGGTAATGGCTCTGCGTGGAGATATGTTCCAAAACGACTAACTCCGCGGAGATATGACGATCCAAAACGACATAACTCCGCGGAGATATGACTTTCCAAAACGACATAACTCCGCGGAGATATAACCTTTCAAATCATCACGTTTATTTTTCAAAATCGAGGTCGGTGCAAAAATGAAACTTTTTCTATTATATTTTTTTTATTATCTCGGGTAATGCCTCTGCGTGGAGATATGACGTTCCAAAACGACATAACTCCGCGGAGATATGACTTTCCAAAACGACATAGCTCCGCGGAGATATGACCTTCCAAATCATCACGTTTTTTTTCAAAATCGAGGTCGGTGCAAAAATGAAACTTTTTCTATTATATTTTTTTTAATATCTCGGGTAATGGCTCTGCGTGTAGATATGACGTTCCAAAACGACTAACTCCGCGGAGATATGACGCTCCAAAACGACATAACTCCGCGGAGATATGACTTTCCAAAACGACATAGCTCCGCGGAGATATGACCTTCCAAATCATCACGTTTTTTTTCAAAATCGAGGTCGGTGCAAAAATGAAACTTTTTCTATTATATTTTTTTTAATATCTCGGGTAATGGCTCTGCGTGGAGATATGACGTTCCAAAACGACTAACTCCGCGGAGATATGACGCTCCAAAACGACATAACTCCGCGGAGATATGACGTTCCAAAACGACATAACTCCGCGGAGATATGACTTTCCAAAACGACATAGCTCCGCGGAGATATGACCTTCCAAATCATCACGTTTTTTTTCAAAATCGAGGTCGGTGCAAAAATGAAACTTTTTCTATTATATATTTTTTTATATCTCGGGTAATGGCTCTGCGTTGAGATATGACGTTCCAAAACGACATAGCTCCGTGGAGATATGACGCTCCAAAACGACATTGCTCCGTGGAGATATGACGTTCCAAAACGACATAACTCCGCGGAGATATATCGTTTCAAAACGACATAGCTGCGCGGAGATATGACCTTCCAAATCATCACGTTTTTTTTTATCAAAATCGAAGTCGGTGCAAAAATGAAACTTTTTCTATTATATTTTTTTTTTTATCTCGGGTAATGGCTCTGCGTGGAGATATGACGCTCCAAAACGACATAACTCCACGGAGATATGACGCTCCAAAACGACATAACTCCGCGGAGATATGACCTTCCAAATCATCACGTTTTTTTTCAAAATCGAGGTCGGTGCAAATATGAAACTTTTTCTATTCCATTTTTTTTTATATCTCAGGTAATGGCTCTGCGTGGAGATATGACGTACCAAAAAGACATAACTCCGCGGAGATATCTCGTTCCAAAACGACAGAACTCCGCGCGGATATATGACCTTCCA